TTGGATAGAACCCTTTCGCTCTGGGGCTTTTCCTAGCCCGGAACCGGAGCCCGGATTACCCATTAGGTTCGGATTCATTCAATAATTGATAAGAAGATCGTATAATTTCTCGTAGACTGTTTGTACTAGAGTGATCTTTGACGACACTTCAATTGTCGCCCAATGAAGCCAGTCGTTCAAAGATTTGGCTTCGTCGGAAAATGAAATGAGTTGAAATTGGCTGATTTCTTCCGTCGAGGAAGAGGTTTAGGAAAGAAATGAATGGTAGCTGAATTGAAAGCGAAGCCGATCAGCAGTAATTGTCAGAGACAGCAAACGAATGGACTTGAGACCAAGCCCAAGATAGTAAAGCGAATGTAACAGATGTTGGAATAGGCAGTCAACGCCTCTCTGCAGGAGAAGAATAGTATGAGCAAATGGTGCAGATTGTGGCGCACTGTGCAGCAGGATACTTACCATATCAAGAAAAATTGTTAAAGAAAGGAAGGAATGGGATACAATTCAATTGTCAACGTCACTAGTATCAAACTGGTGATTCTTCTGGAAGTTCACCAATAGAAACCCCTGAAGATGTCAAAGTAGCTGTTAGCCAGTCCATTCTACCCCGTATGTCAGGGACATCCACTCACAAATCCATCATGAAGAAAAGAATAAAAAGCCTCGAGCCCGCGGAGCAAGAATAGAGAACGAAAATGCAAGGAAAGAAAGAGAAAAAGACGAAGAAAGAATTGTCAGACGCGAAATCCTGGGTATCAGAACAAGGGTTTCCCTCAGAACCCCAGCGCTCCTTCACGCTAGCCTTCAGATATTGACATTATCTCCGAGCGTTTCATGGGTATAGAATATGGGATATAGCCCATTTTGGGAAAAGGCCTAGTTCGAGCCAAGTGGAGTAATGCAGAGCAAGGACGTTTTGATCGTCGGTTCCGAGTATCAGCTGCATATTAATGGATGTGGCGCAATTAAGGAGGCTAGAAGCGTATCATTAGGCCTGAATCGACCAACTCATCGCGAGTCACGTTTCCGATTAACCGGAGAAGAGGATGATCGAGGCATGCTCGTTGCGATCACCTGCGTCCATTGTTGTCCCCATCACATTGTTTTCTTTTTGCTTTTCGGGGATTTGTCGGGCGACGCCCAAACGCGCCGTATCCAACGGCGTACTCCGACCTCCGCCCTCACAACGTACACTGGTCAGAACCAGCTTTATTATGGCTCCGGAGCAAGTGAATCAGTCACAAATTGGCAGCGACCACACAGCAAATGATATTCCGGGATCTGAAGACCAAGTGGAGAGCGCCCAGGTCGGTTAAGGCCGATTCGTCTCATCCTGAGCGGACCTAGGGGACACTATTTCAGCCGGCCACGCGCTTGTAATATTAACCTGAAACCGCATTTCCGTGTCAGTGTTTGTAAATATTCAAGCTGCGACAATAATGGTCAGACACCAACCGATAAATTGTCCGAGCCAAACGATGAAAGAGAGGCAGGGACTGGCATTGCGCTTCTATTTTTAGGGGTCTGAGACTCCATTAGTAGTTATATAGTAGTCGAATAGATCGTAGTTAAAATGGTAATATTCCCAGTTGTTGATGAGATGAATTAAGATGGAAGAAGATGAAGAGAGAGTTATCAAGTCCCGTGACACAAACATAGAAGGTACAATGACGCACTACTAGTAGTAAGAGAGTTTTTTTCTACTGCTGTTTTTTATCAACTACTCTTGCTATCTTGCATCATCATCGTTGTCTCAAGCCACCCTGATTCAAGCCAGACATGACAAGGCCAAACGAAAACATTACTGCCAGCGCTCTTACCAACAAGATACTGGAGGGACTCGACAGGATAGGATCCAGCCTAGAATCACTTAATGCTGAGACACAACGCCTGCATAATGAGAACCTGCGCTTGCAAAGGAACCTGGACATCTACAGAGATGGCGAGATAGCCAAATGAATAGAAATGCCGAGGGTTCTCTTTTGCTTTTATGCTGTTGGGTATGGGCTGTGCCTGTTTTTTATGCCTCTTTTTTTTTTTTTTTTTTTTTTTTTTGAGGCTGGTAGCATAGAGATGAAGGTACAATTATGCCTATACTATATCAGAAAGTAAAAATCTTTATCGCTTCTGTTCTGTACTTGCTACTTACTACAACTCTTACTATACCATCACTGTTATCTCGAGCCAACTGCCACATCTATTTGACTCGAGTCAGACAACATGAAGCTCGGAGACGCAAAGCCCCCAAATCCCGAAAAAGCCACCGCTAGCGATAGCGAAAAACAGGTCACAGAGCAAGTCAAAGGTATCGGGTCATATCTAGAGACCCTTCAGGATGAAAATCAACGCCTGCGCGATCAGAACCGGTACTTACAACGGAGTGTTGATTCTGCATTCCGACATGGTTAGATATCTTGCTTTTTTGCTCAGTTGATATCGCTATGGATACTTTCAGCAGTATTTTGAGGGGCCTACAGTCTACATACAAGTATAGATGATGCATAATGATGCTACATATCAAGAATAAAACCTCTTCGATCCTTCACCACCCATCCACAGAACCAAACGCCTCAATGTTGAAAGAAAACATCACTGGCAAGGCTGGCGCCAACGAGATACTAGAAAGAATCGATCGAGTGGGATCCCGTCTAGACTCCCTTCAGAATGAGATTAAATCCCTGCGCGATAAAACTCAACGCCTGGAAAATGAGAGTCGACACTTGTACTTGCAACGGGGTGCTGATTCCTATCAGGACGGACGTAGTGATCAATGCGCAAAAGTGTTGGCCATGATTTTGTTGGTGTTTGGTATATGGGTACTACCTGTTACGGTCGTTTATTCTCTGTTTCGTTTTCACATTTTGTGATGATATATAGTGACGCCTACGCATCAAGGACAAAACTTTTTAGTTCCTCCCTATTTTATATCTTCCAGACGTCAACATGGCGCACGGAATGTCAAACGCGAGCATTGCGAGCAACAGCGCAAAGCTAGACCACTTTGACAGCACATGTCGAATCCCACCTACAAACACTGCATAATGAAAACAAACGCCTACGCAATGAGAACCTGCGCTTGCAAAGGAACGTTGACTACTGGAAGAATGGAGAGAAGCTAAATGGACAGAAATGTTGAGGATTCTTTTCTTTATATGGGGGTTTGGGTATGGTGTGTTTCGGTTTTTATCTGCTGCCGTTGAACCTCCTCATTACCATTACCGTTAGAGGTACTACTTCTGGAGGGTGTTGTTTGTCTTAGTTCTTATGCTCCTTGTATCCTCAGCGCTAGAGGCCAATATAAGAAGACACAATCAATGAACAGAGTATGACGCCTACATATCAAGGATAATAAAAAGGAAGAAGATGAGGAAGAAGATGAGGAAGAAGATGAGAAAGAAGATGAGAAAGAAGAAGAGCATAAACTTCTCTACCCTCTACCCTCAACCACCACCCCTCACTCCTCACTCGAGAGAATCATCATGCATTCAATATGAATTACGAAGAACCATAGATCACCACCAACAACAACACTGAAACACCTATATAGAAACCCTCCAAGACGAGAAACGGCACTTGCAGAAGAGTGTTGACTCCCACCAAGATGGAGAGAAATCTGCATGGTCAGAATTACTGAGGGCTCTTTTTTTTTTTTAAATGTACGCTATTGCGTTTGGAATGTACTTGTTTCTACTAGCGAAGCCTTGGGAGATTTAATTACGTGGAAAGGAAACGGCCCAGAAGTCAATTGATGAGTGTACCATGGCTCCTACACGAAGTAAACTTCTACCACTCTTACTACACCAGCACAATAACCATTGTCCAATCCTAATATCCTCCAGGCAATCAACATGAAGTATGAAGAACCAAGCTCCTCCCCAAGCCAAGATCAAAACATGACTGGCAACACCGAAGTACTAGAAATTATCAAATAAACGGGATCCTATCTCGGATCAATCCAGGATGAGAACAAGAAACTACGAGACGAGAACCAGTGCTTGCAAAGGAAGGTTGATTCTCACAGAGCGGGCTACTAGAAGGGAATGGGAGGCGCTGCTGGGCGTTATTATTTTTATATATTCTATGGGATTTGGGTTATGTCTACTGACATGTTACTTGCCGAAAGGCTTATAGAGATGAATGTATCATGACGCCTACACAAGGCAGGAAGGAAAATGTGTTTCCCACTTACTGCTCTTACCGTCTTGATCAAAACCAGACACTAGCATGTCTTTAACAAAACCAATGCAAGACACCGAGAAACTTGATCAGTTGGCAGACAAAATCGAGATGATTGCGTCCCACCAACAGTCCCTCCAATCCCTCCAGAAGGAGAATAAAAAACTACAAGATGAGAACCGGCGTCTGCAGAGGATCGATTCTGACCAAAAGGCAAGCTTATGGGAAATAGTGCTAGGCGCTATTGTTTTTGTATATGCTATGGGGATTGGGTTCTATTGGTTGTTATCATCTCTTTTAGCCCTTGGGCCTTAGTGAGGAGGCCAGTCGTATAGCGATGAATGTATCATGACGCCTACACATGAGGGAAAAAAATGGGTGCCATTAACTCTTAAGGTCTCTTTGATTTAAGCTAATTATATACTCAAGTCAGACAACATGGCTATCAAACTCGAAGAACCAAAAGTCCCAGTCTCGCAACTGGTCGCGACTACATCCTACCTACAAGAACTACAGAGAGAATCAACGGCTACGAGATGAGAACTCGCGCTTGCAAAAAAGGGTTGATTCCTTTCCGGGAGAGTTTAAAGAGACACTAAGCGTTGTCTTTTATATTGTTGTTTTGATGTATGCTCTAGGATATGGATTCTACCTGCTTATCAGCGTCTGTTCTTCGTGACTTTTAGCCTATTATGTTCCTGTACTGCAAGATGAATTGTAGCCAAATGAATATTGTTTGTCGGGTTCATCATATATTCTATAGATATCATAGCAGAATGCCGGCTATTCTAGTCTTTGTATACACATCGTTATATCGTATCGTGTCATTATGAACTGTTGAGATTCAATCGATTTCGCAACCCGTGGACGTCCCTCTCAACCGCTCCCATCTCAACGATGACACTCGCCAACTCCGACGAGTGATCATCCACAGCTTCCGTAAAGCTTTTTTGAGCACTCCGAAGAGATAGCGGAACCAATATCCCATACCAGGTTATCGGATCCGAAGAACGAAACTGCTTGATAGGCTTAGGCTTTGGGATCGTAGGATCGGTTTCAGGTTGCTCCGAGTTGCTGCCGTCGTCGGTTTCTTGTGTGTTGTTCTCGCTTTCCTTGTCTGGATTCTCATCGGATGGCGCAGTGTCCGAAGGGCTCTCGGAGGCTTCCTTCTCTTTATCCTGTTCGTCATCACGGTTGTCCGGTGTATATTGAATTGTGAAGGTATGCTCGTAATCATTCGCTTCAGTAGGGTTCCCCGATTCTTTTGTGGCCTTTGAAGGAGTACATAGCGACCTGGTTACCCCTTTGATTAGCAACAACCTTGACCTGGACAGCCAATCGACTTACACCTTCCTCGTCGCCTTCATCCGTTCATCGTAGTAGTCCGTACCATATCGTCGGCCAGGCGGGCATGTGTAATTGGCCTGCGCAAGAGACAGAAACCCCTACTTCGGTGTTAGGATACTTGTCATCCACGAATGCCACATTGTAATAAACAACACCATACCGAAGACAACTGTTTCGCCAAATCCGCTTGTAGTTTCTGATGCCGATCGAGGAGGTGAAGATATCGCTCTAGAAGAGTATCCAATGGCTGCAGTAGTTCGGTAGAGGTGTCGACTTCGGTTTCCTTCTGGATCTCCGGCGCTTCGGAGGTATCGCGGGACGCGGGGGGCGTGGGAATTTGCGCCATTGGAGATGGACGCGAACTGCTCGTATCTAGGCCGTTCAAGACAGCTGTTTGATTGGGATCCGACGGATAGAGCTTCGTTTCGGCGGGTGGTCGTTGTGTCTAGACACGATTGAAGAACGCAAGTTCGGCCGAGGGGTCCGGTTAACTCCGTCTCCGGCGAAGGAAACAAAAGAATTTCCCGCCTGCGCCCTGCGACTTTACAACGCCCGAAAGAAATAATAAAAAGGGACGAGATATACCCCAGGGAGAGTGCGCAGTGAGTGTTGACAATTTCCCGACTGCCCTGACGTCAGGTGTTCTTTTTTTCTTTGCGGAACCGTTAATCAGCCAGTCGTTCCCCGACTGCGCTGGTAAGCTTTCAAGCGCCACTTCGTTTCTGCGATTGCGACACTAAACATCGTTGTTGGATATACAGTTATTCTTGATACCTTTTTTTTAAATATTTTTTTTATACCCGACGTTGCCATCATGTCTGTGGCCTCATTGAGCCGGGATACTGCCTTCCAGGCACGGTCGTTGGTATGTTATATCCATGAACTACGATACCCCATTTCGTGCAGCTCAGGCTGACTGACACTGTTCGCAATAGTTCCGTTCCCTCCTCCGTCAATCGTCGCAATTCTCCGCCTTCAACTTCCGTGAATATGCCCGCCGGAGGACGAGGGATGCTTTCCGTGAGCACCAGAATGAGTCGGAGGACAGGAAGGTCCAGGAATTGTTCCAGGAGGGGCTGCAGAACTTGCGTATGATGAAGGTTAGTGGGATATCAGGTGTCCGGAATTTGTCTACAGAAACAGAGGGAGACTATGATATTGGGATTTGCATCGTGATTGTTGCGGGTTACTGACTGTTCGCAGAGACAAACGATCATCAGCCAGTTCTACCAGTTCGACAAGTTGGTTGTGGAGGGACAAGAGACGGTAGGCTTCGACCATCTCAAACATTCTCGGGTTTTATTCTAATATGCTTCTAGGGGAAACAAACTGGGGGAGAAGGTGATATCGTCCGCCAGAAGGATACCGGGTAAGCTGTCTCTAATTCTCCGATCCCCTGCTTGCACATGAATTATGGGTGGCTAACGATTGCCGCCACAGCTGGGACTAAACCGCGCACTTGTACTTTTCTTTTCGCAGCCTGCGTTGAAGTTTGAATAAAAATATGACTTTGCGTTATCGTTTCTATGATCGAAGGCATTGTGGGGAAGTACCAGAGTAAATAGACTGAGTCGCCTTGTATTTCTACCAAGACGCCCTGATGTTACTTAACTTGCTACGAGCGTCAATTCCAATTCTCTACTCATGGACTCATTTCCCAGCGTAATTATGTGGTTTTTCATTGAGTGCAAAACCCCCAGCATACTTGTGTCGTAGTGTCCGCCTGAGTCACGTGAAATCCTCCCGTATCGCAACGCGACGGACTCCGATGCATCAACCACCTCTTTATCGGAGTTGTACTTGCGAACGGGCATGCAGCGATCCATCTGAAATCCCATGATCGCTGCGTCAATTGAATCGCCTTGCATTCCTTTGATCGCATTTTGAGAAAAGATTGCAAGATACCCACTCACAATGCCACCTACAGTATGTCACCTCAGCTCATGAACCCCCATCACAGCGCGTTAACATCCCCCAGTTCAGATCCTCCCGGTCAGGCCGCCACCTAGGTGAAGCAACTGCCGCCCGCACGCGCACTGGTCAAATCGACCACGACGTCTTCGAAGGCCTCCCCGTCCGCCGCTGGACCCGCCAACACCAAACAGTCTCGCAAGCCCCCAAACCCGACGAAGCAGAATCCATCTTCCAAGGCCCCGGCGGAAAACAAACACTCCCAGAACACCCCATGCCAAGAGACAGTCAGCTGTTGACGCCTACAAGTAAGGCGCTTTTGCGCGCGGCGCGCGCGGGGTGTATATATATCAGACAGGCGCCGAAGGAGGCTGAGGACATCAACCTTATTATCAACGAGGAGAAGGAGACGGCGGATACGGAGGAGGGTGGCGCTGTTGCTGCAGGGCAGCCGAAGGCGGAGAGGAGCTTTGTGACGAGGAAGTGGATGACGGTGCCGCGGCAGATGGAGCCGCCGGAGGTGGAGTTTTTGGCGAAGAGACGGCCAGGTTTGCCTTCGTTGTATGGGGCTGCTGCTACGGGCGTTGATGGGGCGCCTAATGTGCCTATGAGACGGACGCGGTTTAAGAAGGTTGACCCGGCGACTGGGAATGTGTCTGTTTATGAGGCCTGGGTTCCCGAGGGTCATCGTATTGAAGGGGAGATTGCTGCAGATGATCAGGTTCTGCCTGGAAATGCTGAAGCAACCGTCAATTCTGAAGCGCCCGCGCCGGGGACGGTGGTTGAGGGTGTTGGAACGGTTAACGGTGAGGGCGTGGTTGTTGCAGAGGCTGGTTCGGCGGCTGTTATGACCCCCCCGAAGCGGCGACCACCTCCACCCAAGCGCAAGGGCAAGGGCTTCAAGGGTAGGAGAAAGAAGGTCATGTTCGCGCCTGGTGAGGGCGCTGATGTCTCTGCTGTCCATGGCGCTGGAGCTGGCGCTGGCGAGGGTGCGATGGACACAGATGGCGTCAAGTCTGAAGATGGGGATGCATCGCGTGGTGACCAGGGTGGTCATGAGGATGAGGATGATGACGGTGAAGAGGGTGAGGAGAGTGACGAGGGCGACGAGTCTATGATGGATGCGAAGACGCCGGAGACGCCTGCCGCGGAACCTGCTCAACCTACTCAGACTCCCCAAAATGCTCCCGCAGAAACAGCGCCAGAACCGCAAGCTTCTGGTGATGCACCGCAAGCAGCCGAACAAGCTCCTGCTCCCGTTTCAGACAAGCCCAGTGATGAGAAGCCGGTTCCTGAAGATGTAACCATGACAGACTACCAGCCTGAGCCTGCAACATCTGAACCCCAACCAGCACCTGATACACAGCAACCAAGTGCGCCAGAGCAACCAGCACCCGCCGTGGACACAACCAACGAAAACCAGCCGCAGACAGAACAGCCCGCTCCTCCCGCTCCAGAAGAGTCCCCGGAAAAGCCACAAGAGACAGTCAAGACAGAGTCTGATCAACAAGAGAACCAAGATGCCATGGACACATCAGCAGACCAGCCCCTCGAACAACAACAGCCGCAACAAGAACAGCAACAGAAGCAAGAGCAAGAGTTAGCTCCCAAGCCGGAACTAGAACAACAAGAACACGATACATCCGCCACCGAAAACCAAGATGTGGATGTATTAGGTACTCTCGAGAAGAGTTTTGATGCTCCTGCTAGCAGTGAACAGGCGGAACCTCAAACAAAACCTGAGCCTGAGCCAACGCAGGCTGGTGACTTAACTGAACCTGCTGCCTCAACGGAAACGGGGCCAGCAGAAGAGCAGCCGTCGACAAACAACCAGGAAGTTGAAAATCCTACTGAAGAGCAGCCGCAGCTGCAACAAGAACAAGAACAAGAACAACAACCCAAGGAAGAAGTCGAAGAGCAGCCTCCTGTACAACAGCCAATTGAGCAACCACAAGAACAGCAACAACCCGAAGGAGAACAACAACCTACGGAAACCCCTGCTGTTGAGCCCACGGAACCTACTGAGCAGCCTACTGAGCAACCCACAGAACAACCTGCAGAACAACCTATTGAACAACCCGCGGAAAAACCCGCAGAAGAACCCGCGGAACAACCCGCAGAAGAACCGAAGGAGGAACCAGCAGAAGAACCGAAAGAGGAACCCGAACCCCAACCTCAGCAACAAGCAGACGAAGCACAGCAACAAGAACAGGAACGGCAAGGACAACAACCACCACCACCAGCACCGGCACAGGAGGGAGAACCTGGCCAGAACTAGGGTATCTATCATTTATATTCCATCAATTAGCAAGTTAGTGTCGATGTCTTCTGGTGTATAGGGATTATAATTGAACGTTTTCAAGAAGTCTACCGCGCATTTGGTATCAACTCGATGTTAATCAAGTAGGATCAAGTAGGATTGCAAATAAGCTATTGGCAACTATCCCTGAAACTATAATATGCAAATACTGTTGAATGTGACTACAGAGTCCGTGACTATGAGAGAATCCTAACCAGAGCCAAATGATAATCAATTGCCTACCTCATACAAGATACTGAATACATTTCTACCTTTCTCATCCCATCATTCACAAAAAATAGACAACCAAGCAAGTAACAAGAACGAACCCAAATAAGATAATAAACGAATATGTAAAATCCCAGAAAACGATCCGTCCGACTCTCTACCATCCGCGAACCAACTTCTAGATAAAAGATGAAAGAGGAACTCAATATTATATCAAAAGATACAAAGGGAGAATATTAAGAAGGGAAATAGGGGAAACGCACGTAGACAAGGAAGACAAAACGCCGTCACGGGGTACCAAGATGAAAAAACTTTCAAATTCAGATCAGGGGGAATAGGATAAACAAGGGGGGAGGGAGAACACCAAAAGAATATGAAACAAGAAAGTAAATAAGACAAAATAATTGAAGCTGTTGGATTAAGTTGGAATGCCTGTGGTTATCACGGCTGAAAGCATGTTGAAAATCCATCGAGAAAGATGGCCAGAAGAACCCAAGAAGCCAATCGAAAAGTAACCAGTACCACCACTGGCGTTGGGCTGCATTTAAGACCTGAAAAAGTGCGAACGACATAATCGAATTGGTGTTGAATTATTTCTTGCTAGCCTTGACACCTCGCGCGGTCTTCGGCGTAGTATCCTTAGTAGCTTTGGCAGTCTTGGTTCTAGCACCGCCCCAGCGACCACGACCAGCCTTAGGCTTGGCTTCTTCCTTCGCATCCGCCTTCTTAGGCCCCCGCTTCCGACCCGTTCCCTTCGCCGCAGCGAGGATCTTGGCTTTGGTCTCTGCCGATGGACGCTTAAGCGTGGACGCTGCTTCGGTCTTGGATGGTTGGGCCTTTGCTGCAGGCTTGGTCTTGGTGGTAGCGCGAACCGTCGTCTTGACCTTGGCCTTGGTTGTTACCTTAGGCAATTTCACATTGCGCTTGGTTTTGGGGGCGGTTTTTGTCGTATTCGTAGTCGCAGTTGCAGTCGCGGCCTTCGACTTGGCGGTGGCTGCGGTGGTCCTCTTCTTATATGTGCGCTTTGTAGCCGGTTCTGTCTTCTTTGTCGCGGTTGATCGTGAAACAGAGGCGCGCGATTTTGAAATAGCCTTATTGACCCTAGTCTTAACGGTCCTCCGTTTTTTGTTCAGTCGTGAGGCTGATTCGTCGATGACACTTCCAATCTTTCGCTTTGTCGTGGCCTTGGATTGCGTCTTCTTCGCGCTCGCGCTTAGTTTCTTTTGCTCTTCCCTCTCCTTGGACCGTTGTTCCTTTTCACGCGGCCTGGGTCCCAATACTCCACGGCAATTGGCTGAACCGCACCGGCATTGTTGGACATTCTTCTGCGAATAGGGACTAGTCTTTTGTCAGCTGAAGTTTGTTTCGTCTCGGGTTTCACAAACTCACTCAAAGTTGTAGTCGTAAGTCAACTCCTCCCCAGTCATAATGCCACGGTCACCTGCAAAGAGCGCCATGCGAGGTTTGCCAGCAACCGTCCATTTCTCCATTCGACAGTTGGGTTCACAGGAATGGTTCACAAATCGAGCGATGGAACCTCGAGTAGCATCGATGATCATGTTTTGATCAAAATACATCAGGTAGTAGCACTGTATTGGGTTAGCTATAGCCAGAAAATGGGTTAGAAAGATACACACTTCGTTCTTCTTGTATGTCGTCCGCATCCGTTTCTCGCATTCAGACTGAGTAATGATCTCTCCCGTGTATTCCACGATGATCTGGTTTGGGTCGAATGTGCGGTTACTACGAACACCGTATCCACGATCTGGCGTTTTGATGACCTCGACACCGATGTTGTACTTCCCTCCGGCCTTGGTTCGTTGCTTGAGTTCGTCGAAGCTACGGTTACCACAATCGCGGCCCAAGCTGCAATTGCCGTTGTCGCATTCGTAGAACATATAGCGGTTTTGGCAATTTTCGTCACAGCCGGTGTCTGCGGTACACATGCATTTCGATAATTCCATGTCTTTGTTGGCTCTCCATATGCTTCCTGCTTCGCCGACGAACACATCTAAGACTGTTAGTTCACCTTCAAATCACTAAAACAGTATTCAGGACCGTACTCTTGTTGGTCTTCCTCCACTCATTAGGCTTGGGCTGACCAGGAGGAAGTGGCGAGAAGATGTCGAAAGGAAGCTGGAAGTCCCTCCCATTCTGCAGCAACCTATCGCCGGCGAACATGGGCATTGGGAGAAAGTTGCGCGGCGCATCCCTCTGTCTCCGCCTGAACGTAGTCTTATTCTTCTTGGTTTGAGTAGGGCGAGTACCTTCCGGTTCTTGTCCGGAGTATAGACCATGCGTCAGCCAACGCTTAGATCTCCGGAGCACCGGAGCGGACTCTGCCTCTTCCTCCTTCTGCGTAGACGACTCTTCTTCTTCATGCGACTTAGTGAATGATGGTAGGTCACTGTCCGAAACTCGTCGTTTCTTGGCGGCAGGGTCGTTGTTGGTCGACGGCGCGGGCTCCTCCTTGAGCGGAGCGATACTTCGAGGGCGGAGGCTGGACCGACGATCGGGCTCTTTCGCTTTCGCACTCCTGGTTCGTTTTCCCAAGACGGTGTTGGCTTGCTCGGCAAGCCGCGATGCCACCCTCTCCGCGACACCTCGGCGAGAGGAGCGCCTCAATGTCTGTTCCTCATCATTTTCCTTAGACTCAACAGTCTCCTCCTCCTTCTCCGCAGTATCTTCCTTGGTCTTATCCACCCGTTTCCGTAGAGTCTGCGGCTGTAGCGACGTGTCGACCTCCTCCGAAGCCGGCTCCTGAGAAGTTTCCGAAATAGACGTGTCTGGCGTAAGCGGGTGTTTGTCTGTATTCGCGTGGCTTTGTGAGTCACTCGTTTCGCTAGCTTCGCTCCATTCCATCACCGCTATACTATGCCGGAGACGAGACGAGGCCCTCTTTCCTCCCGAAACGGAATTGGCCGGGGTATCGCCGTTCGTAGCTGAAGAAGCATCATTACTCTCCGTCTCCGGAGTCTCCAGCTGAGCGGCTTGTAGAGAGGTGCGTGTAACACGTGTAGATCTTCGCCGGAGTGCCGGTTTCTCCTTCTCGTCGTTTGACGACGCGTTCTCGTTGTTGCTGGAGGTTTCGGAACGGCTGTTTTCGGGCGTGAGGAGTTGTTCGGGAGTCTCGAGGCCGGTGATTTCGTCGATGTGCGTATGCTCGTGGATCTCGATTTTCTGAGGGAGGTCGGTTAAGAGTGCAGAAGTCGCGGAAGACGCGACCTGGGTTTCTTCCATGCTGATTTCGCTTTTTTTTTTTTTTTTTTCGCGGTTGCCCGGTTCGTGGCGATAGGAAGCGGAGGGAAAATAACGCAGCGGGAGGATTCGTGACCAGACACTCCCCCCTGGGGCTGTGGGACTGGTTTGGAAAACGGTGGAAGGCGTTGGGATTCTTCGTCCTCGGAGGTCCGGGGCTGTTTCTTATCAGGTGGTTGGATGGGGTTTGCCCTATATTTGCTATAGGAGGAAGAACATATAAAGAAATTCCAAAACAGACGGACAGAACAGCAAACCGTGATCGCGAAGGAGAACGAAACGACGGTCTGGAGGGGGGAGGGAGAGTTCAATGGGACGGAGGAAGGGAGAAGAAGAAGAGAAGAAGTTGGGAGGAAGAGGAAGAGGTGTGCGGAGAGAAAGACATCTGCCCGCGGAATGCGCACGACAGCGACCACTACTGTCTTTTCTTGTTTTGTACTAGCGCTTAGGATTCTGCCTGGTTATTAAGGAAGTTTGCATATTGGCTTCTTTCATGGCTTTATTCTAAATGTTTGATCTTATATATACATAGCCCGACGGCTTGCGCGCCGGCAGGTATAGGTCACAATCTCGTATATTCCGACCTATAGTGAGGCATTTATTTGCTAGAAACTGCCATTGAAGGGAGCACCATACTGTATAGATAACTATTATTCTCTATCTGCAGTACCAGAGGTGTAGCTATACATGTTCCTCATGTTGCGTAAATCCGAATCAATCCAACATTCAACACCAAACAAAGATATCTCAACAGGGGAAAAAAAAAAAAAAAAAAAAAGTAGATGAACATGTGAAAGAAGTATATCAGTTGGAGAATCATACAAAATAAAGGCAATTGCCAAAGTGCTGCCGAAGAATTAGGGAGAGAAGTGCGTGTACATAGGAGTATCACGTAATTGTAGCCGGAAGGAAATAGTAAATGAAGGTATTGTAACCACAAAAATTCAATGAAATCAATGAAATATGAACTGAAATGACTGATATGGCAAGGAAATCAAATAAAACAAACCGAGAAGAAAAGAAGAAATATCGACATTGCTGATATTAACCCTGCTGCTGCTCAGCAGGCACTTGCTGCATTTCAATGCCAGTTTGAGCCTCGAGATCCGGTTTCCAATGCTTTCGTTTCTCATTGCTCAAGCGCTGGTCACCCGCTTCGTATGGCCGCTTAAATTCCATGTACGTTGGTGGACGAGGCCGGAAGAAAACCGATAGCCAATTTGTGATAACATTGCCCTGAGTGAACGGCCGGTGACGGTCTGCCTTGACAAACTTGTGCGAATTCAAGTACTCCCGTGTTGTCTCACCGCGTCCAACCAGGAAAAGATGGTATGCCCAAAGAGAGGCCGGATAGGGACCGGCCAATGCTCCGTAGATCACCATGGCCCAGGGCACCCGCAAGGTATCGATTGCAGAACCAAACGAGATGCCCTCGCGCTCTCGATACACCAGAATGTGCGCAAGACTGGCGCCAAGTAGGAAGAACGCGAGTATTGTCGAATAGCTGACAAAAGTAAAAAAGTACCGGTAGTTACGGCGGCCGACACAGTTGTTGAGCCAGACACAGTGATGGTCCAAAGTCTCAACACAGTTGTCACAAACCCGGCAATGGTAGCAGCGTGGAGGTCGCCAAATATTGCAGGTTTTGCAGTATTTCACTGGCACGTCCATTGCGGCCACTTCTGAGGTTGCCAATTTGACCATGACCCAATCATTCGTTGGTGGACCAATCGCTAACGGATCACCAGTGGGATCCGGTGGTGGCATCGGGTGAAGATTGCGCGGGATGACACCAGGATCCACGACAGAAGCATGCACGAATGATGAAAAGCACACGCAGAAGATGTACGCAAATAAAATCGGAATTGCCGGTGAGATGTTGTGCCATAACCAAGGCGCAGAGTACGCGAAGAACAACGCAGAAGGCACAACCACGAGAAACCCAGTCGCGATATTGATAGGCTTGTCTCGGGAGTTTTGGAACCTCCCACCAGCAAAAAAAATGGTGTTACCCATGAAATATTCATAATTCTTGCCCAAACGACTCTGAGCTGGTTTCTGGCCTTGCTTCTCGATGGATCTGCGGGACGAGGCGTTCGAGGACAGCCGTTCATGAGCCCCGTTGTCGCGACGATCATGAGGATGGGGCTTGTCCTGCATGGACAGAAAAGAGAGAGGTGACTTTTGCGCCTGATCATGGGGCTCAGGAAACCTATAGTTCGCCGCTGGCAAGTTGAGCTGCTGAGGTGGTGTCTTTTGTTGTATCCGTTCGCGTTCGTGCAGAAGCCTAGCGCTTTCCCCGAGACTCCGTGTAGTCATATTCCCAGTAGGGCTTGCAGAGTTCGTTCGGTCTGGGATGATCGGATCCGTAAACTCCGTACCCCGCGACGGGGGAGCTTCCTGCTCGACCGGTGGGAGGGATCCTTGATGGTGCGTGCTATTTGACACCAAACTCCTTCTCTTCTGACTTGCCCGGTCATTCCAGTCATCAGTGGAGGCGGACGCAAATGTCTCCTTGGTCATGGGCCGTCCTCGATGTGCCTGTAGTCGTTGCGAGGACATGGGCCGAAAGAAGCCCTGCGCAGTCAATGACGGAATATGTGTTCTGCTAATCCGACTGGCAGAGCTGCCGGGTCTGCTGGCGACATGGCTGGATGCTGCAATCGAACTTCTAGCGGGTGGGGGGCCTCGTCGCGATAGGGAGGGTTGCGATCGTGGTGGTTGCGAGGATGCACCGGTATATGACTGTGATTGTTCGCCATCCTCCGAGATTATATCCGTCGCTCGAGAAGAGATTCCCCCGACGGAGGGGGGACGGGGGAGTCCTAACGCATGCTGCGAAGAAGGGGGGTTAATCACATCGCTCGGTTCGCGGTTGTCCGCCATTTTTCCTGAAGATATGTGTGGTTGTATGCTTGGGTACCGAGAAAATCACAGGATCATGGTGGTATTACTCGCGAGACGAAAAAGAGCGCGGTGCAATTCGGAGAAGCCGGTCGTCGCAAATAAGGAGACGTGAAGGAATGACAAGGGGTACTGATGCCGACGAAAAGATATCGATAGTAAGAATAATAATAGAGAGCGAAAGAATGAGAATAAAAGATTGAAAGACCGAATAATGTAAGATCCTGAGCAGCAATTAGCCTGAGTTGAAAGTGTTGCCCCCTCCAAGGCAAAATGACGCCCCTGGGAAGAGATACATACAAAACCTCTCGGAAAGGCAAAGACTGAAAAATCACAGAGCACAACACAGTCAGTGTCAGACAACTCTCACATCACGATTGCTGACACATTGACGAATCAATTAAAGATAGACAAACAACGCACGAAATCCCCGGTGACGGCAGCCCAACAGACGTGGTTCTGTTAATCTTGAATTGAAGCCGGGCGCAAACCCCGCTGACTCAGCGTCACCAATTGCCCACCGGCCAACGGGATGTCACCTGATGATGCGCCGGCAACATCATCCCCAAGTCTCGGTTCTTCTCGCGATACCCAACCCTGCCGTTCCCTTGCGACAACAACGTTCGAGATAACCTCTCAAAATGTCTTCGATCGCTGCTATGGCTTCCCGCCGGGCTTTTGCCCGTCAGTCCATCCTCCGCGCTCCTCCGCGCCGCTTCTACAGTGCCTCCAAGATGGAGGAGGCCAACCTCGAGAAGGCCCCCAAGCGTGACCCCGAGCTCTACGTATGCCCCCATTGGACATTGCGATTATATTTTTGGACACTTGGGCTAATTGAGACACAGGTCCTCCTCGGTGTCATGTCCGGTGCTTTCCTGATCGCTGGATGGTGAATAATCCCCGTTCTTATTTTTTCTTGTCTCGCCTCCCCCACAATGGCAGCAAAGCTCGTTGCAATGCGGCCAATTCCTCCACGATTCGCAATACAACCCAACATAAATACTAATAACGAGTTTTTTCAACTTTGTACAGGTACTTCGGCCGCAAGCCCACCTCTGTCAACTCCGAGAGCAACGTCCGCATCGGCCAGAGCGCTATGCCTTGGCACGCTGCTGAGGAGGACGAGAAGGTCTACAAGTACCAGTACCACCCTCACGGTGACACCTCCCAGCCTCTCCGGAACGCTCCCAGCGCCATGAACACCGTCATTGTCCCCAAGGTCACTCTTCCTGAGGTATGATAGCGAAAACAACAAGCATATTGGAAAGCACGGCAGAAGGAAAGAACATATTAACATGATGCTAGGACCTTCACGAGCGCTTCAACAAGCTTGGCAAGGAGGAGTGGGACTACTAGATCCGCAATTGAGAGTGAGTCCGAGCCGAGTACAGAGTTGGAGCTGAAGGTGGAGCTGGGGCAACTCCTGATGTCGATTGCTGTACACTAGATTTACCGGCAAACGTTATAGTTTGGGGATGAGCTTTTCGTGCGTAGGAGGTTTGTGCATAGTTTTACTTTGACGAAAATTGATCGAGTTCTTCCATTGCATGATCAGTCCCGCACTACGGAATAATACTCCGCTATACCACGCCCATACCGATGTAGGGTCTTACGCAAAAAAAAAAAAAAAAAAAAAAAAAAAAAAAAAAAAAAAAAAAAGTGGATATTAAGATATAGAAGATAGAAGATAGAATCTAAGTACTGCCACAAATGTTTACATATCAAGAATAATGAAATTTGACTTTGCCAACGCCCATGAAAAGAGGCTTAAAATGAAATGTAACTGAAGAGAAGTAAATGAAAAAGAATTGACAACAGCTCGTTATACATGCTCCTTATTCCCTCAGATAAATCAGTCAGTTGCCTCGTTCCCTTCGCTGGCCGGCTCAGGCTCAGGCGAGCTGGACTCTTCAACTGCAACCGAGCTTTCTTCCCCAGCAACAGGAGCTGGGATGTCTTCCACCGGTCGTTGCTGTTCCTTGTTCTCAACGGTCTCCGGGTTCGATCCTTGCACATCCGGATGTGGGGGCGCGACCTTGACTTGACCATCCACGACATCTACCTCGTGGCCATTGGCCAAACGGGATCGATACTCGTAGCGAGTCTCAACGGAAACTTTACCATCCTGCTGGAGTTGCGCGACAAGGGATTCGGGAAGGACGTTGCCATTTTGGTCCCGGAATTCCACTCGTGCCTTCTTGCCCCGGATGGACGGCAGAGCCTCGGGGGTGACATTGGCGGATGGGTCCTCTACCTCAGAAGCGGCTTCCTTGGCCTCTTCCTGAGGTTTCTGCTGCACCGGGGGTTGCTCAACGGGAGGCTCCTGGACAAGAGGGGCTTGCGCGGGGGGAGCCTGGACAGGGGGAGCTTGCACGGGAGGCGCCTGCTGCTGGGTTGTTGGCACGGCAGCGGCCTTGCCCACATACTGAGTAACGTAATGGTTGAGCTAATGCCTCCTTGTCAGTCGTTGCGATGCGATGCGCCTAGGATCTCCGTCGCGGAGGTTTTGTCTATGCTGGAGGACTTACGTCGGTGTGGAAGGTGTTGCAGTCAAAGTCCCAGGAGTCCAAAAGCTTCACTTTCCTGCAGGCATCCTGCGTCCAGGGGTTGCCGTAGACGAGCGGAGAGTAGAGCGTGAATGTAAAGATACTCAAAGTAAGGAAAACGCCCATCAGCAGCTTGCCAATCATTGGCTTAGAGGGCAGACCCAAGCTCTTGATACGGTTTGCAAGGAAGTCGACTTCTTGGGTGAGCGCAAGAATAGCAAAGTAAAGCGCCGGGAGGTAGTGATGAAGGAACAGTTGACGGGCCATAAGGAAGAATGGGAAGTAGTGGAAAAACCATCCAAGCACGTTGGGGCCAATTTCATAATCGAATCGCTTGAAGTTGACGTTGCGGTAGTCACCGCAGTGTCGCTGCCACCGAATGATGGAAATGCCCTTGAAAATGAAGTAGATTGCAATTGCCACAGTCGACGACCACCAAATGAATGGGTTACCAAGGAGGTAAATCTGGCGGTGATCTTTGCCCCAGAAGTTGATGCCGCGGAGCAGCGTTGGCCACGACGGGGGACGAGAATCCCAGTTGTGAGATTCGGTCAAACCAGCGTTGGTGGTCCACATCACCTTCTGAAGTTCCCAGAACTTGCCCAAGAAGCCAGGGTGTTTGTAGTTGACCTTCTCTGTGTCTGCGGGGAGCATTGGATGGGCGTTCGACTCAATGTACCAGAGACTGTTGGGCAAGCTGCCGCCTCTGGCGCAGGTCACTTCCTGCTGAGCCCAACCCCATTCAGGCAATTTGACCTTGTGGGAGAACAAGACACAACCAGTCATAACATGAACAAGTCGGAACTTGGTTTCGATGGTCCGCAACCGTTTCTTGGCCTCTTCACCCTGGGATGCGGACTTGACGATGTCAACTCGGAAGAGGTCATTCGCGTCGCCAGCGAATCCTTCAAATCCGTAGGCAGAGACTTCAAATTGCCAGTCCACATCAGTCACAGGAGGTCGCTCGTCGTGCGAGTGAAGTCTTCTGTGAGTGATCGGGTGGTACAGCCGGAGAACCGCGCCATCATAGATGTTCTCAGCAGTGATGTTATCCCACGCAAAAATCCCGGGGACTTCTCCATAAGGACCAAGAGGCTGGGTCTGGTTTTCGAGCACGAAAATGTTGTTTTCGTCCTTGTGTGGATACAGAGTGATCTGCTGCTGTTTGCTTCCGGTGGGGAACATGTGCGGGTGGGAATGCAGATATCCACCCTGGGTATTTTGATGGCGAAGTGTGACCCGAGAGCCGTACACAACGTCAGCGGGGACGTCTTGCATCGTTTTAGAGTTCAGCGTTGCCTGGAATTCAGATGACATGAAACCATCTCCATCTCCTGGGTTTACCAAGCACATGAAATGAATTGCGAACATTCCGCAATAAAATCCGATGGGAATGATGATAAGACAAAAGACCCGGGAGAAGAAATGTTTAAACCAAACGCGAGCAGTAACGGTTCTCGTATCTCCAAGGAGCACCCACAATTGAAGAATTGTAAGGGAACCAACCCAAGCAACCGTAAAGAGTCCAACCCACTTGACGCTTAATGTCGCACCCAAGCATAGACCAGTGGCAGAAAGCCAGAACCACCATAGCCCACCGAAGGCGCGCGACGGCCCTTGCTCTTGCTGGTTGGTAAAGCAAGTGAACGATAAAGCCGTGAGTGCGGTGAAAAAGACCAAGGGCGCATCAAGAAGGATCAAGCGGGATTGAGTGACGAGCGCATTTTCGAAAACCAAAACTCCCGCACCCATCGCGGCGGACGTGGTGTGACATCCGGATGCTCTAAGGGTCAGGAACAGCAATGGAACCGTAAGCACACCCATAACCGCCGGAAGCATACGCATAGCAACATAGGGAACGGCGGGCTCAAGATAATCTTTGCCAATGTCCTTAAAGTCGAAGTTTCCATCAAAACCACCGAGCCATCCTGCAAGTGTAAGAAGAAGTTTGGCAAGCGGGGGATGCACGTCCATAAAGAAACGGCCTTTAATGTATTTCGACGCGAAACCACCGAAGCTGTCCCAATCCGTATCAGCACAATCATGCACATCAAATCAAGCACTATATAAGACATACTGGACTTCATCGAAAACAACGCTGGAGGGCTGGTAAATTCTGAACAAACGGACCACCGCCGCGACTATTGTGATAAACGCGAGGACCCGGTAGTCCTTTGTGGGCAATGCGAAAATGTTGTTATCCGTAACGCCATCCGACGCATAGCTCGAGCTTCCTGCCGATTCCTTCTTGCGATTCTTGGAATTCGGAGAGCGACTGGGAGAGCGCCCGGACTTTGGTAGAGGTTTCACCTCCAAGGTGTCCCGGGATCGGGTCATCATCTTCGGGGGGTTTCACAAAGCAGGTCAATCAGTACGTAGGGAACGATTGGTATAGAAAGGAAGGAGATTAAGAAATTGTCGTGGTAGAAAGGAAAGGATGAGAGGTTGGTAGATAGTAGGCTCCAGCACCAGGGGAGCTCTCAACCGTCCGACACTAAAGCAGACAGCACAAAAGAAGACGTTAATTAATGAGAGTATTGAAGCAAGACGCGATTCGCCATGACAAAACAAGAGGTCAAAATTCAAGAAGGGGAAAAAAAGATAGAAAATGAAAAAGACGCCGTTGAGAGGGGGATCAGAGACACGTGTGGGACGAATTAGGAGGTGGTCGAAAGCGTCAGAGCAGAGAATCCGCTTAAGGCCAGATCGTCGCAAGCCGGAATTGGAGAGGAAGAGAAAGGTAGAGGAAGCACAAAGGGTTGTAATGTACTGTGCCTGATAGACTGGCAATTGATTCAACCCCAATTTCTGGATGAATTGCCCTGAACCGGTTCTTTCAGTTCTCCTGTCATACCGTCAGTACTTGTCGAAGGCAGCCAATCAGAATCCCAGCGGGTATCACACGCGCGTCTGCTATCTAAGCGCTGAGTCGCCGCGCCAAGACCCCGTGATGAAGTCAAAGGGCGAAAAGACTCGACTATCGCAAGAAGAATTGCTGTTGTCCACCATCAGCCAGCCAGTTTGCTACGATGGCTTCTACGACAAATGGAAATACTCCGACGCTACCGGAAGAGGTGAGCAAGCCACCTGAGGGCGTGGTTTTGCCCCCGAAGGATATTCGAGGTGAGTGACCAAGCTTCTTTTCTAACGCGACTGGCGGAAGCTGACCATGAAACAGCTATTGTGGAAAAGACTGCAGGATACGTGGCTCGGAATGGGCTTGTTTTCGAAGGTATGTGTGAATGGTCATCGTTGTTGATGCTACTCACGCGAGCAGTCTAGCTTACACTATGTTGTCCTTTAGATCGCGTCCGCGAAAAGGAACGAAATAACCCCAAGTTCTCCTTCCTGACCCCGAGTGATGCATACGCACCGTTTTACCAGTGGCGCCTTGTGGAGATTAAGGAGGGCAGGGGAACAGCTGTCGCGGCAGGGCGACCAGGGGAGGCTGCGGCGGCACCTGAACCGGAAGAGCCCAAGGGACCAGCAGAGCCTCCGGGTTTCCATTTCTCTGCTCGGATGCCTATCATCAACGCGCAAGATCTAGAAGTCGTCAAACTTACCGCCCTTTACGTCGCCAAGAGAGGAAAATCTTTCATGACCGCGCTGTCGCAACGCGAAGCCAGAAATTTCCAGTTTGATTTCCTGCGGCCGCAACACAGTCTCTATCAGTTCTTCACCCGATTAGTCGACCAATATACGACCCTACTACGGCAAGAAGGAATCGATGAGGCCACATCGGAGCAGAGGAGACTGGCGGAACTGGAGTACAATGTTAAGAACAAGTTTCACATCTTGGACCGGGCTAAGCAACGAGCGGAATGGGTGAAATACCAGGAGCAGCAGAAACAGAAGAGGGAAGAGGAGGAAGAACAAGAGCGCATTACCTATGCGCAAATCGATTGGCATGACTTTGTGGTTGTGGAAACCGTGCTTTTCACCGAGGCCGATGACCAGGCGGAGCTCCCTCCACCAACATCGCTGAACGACCTTCAATCTGCCTCTCTGGAACAGAAGGCGATGATATCTCTCAATCCCATGCGGATCGAAGAGGCCATGCCTACGGACCTAGAGGAACCGACATACTACAACGCCTACCCAGTACAGCCCGAACCAGTGCCGATCGTACAACCGGCCGGGCCGGTATTCCCTCAACAACCAGTTCAACCCATGCCAGTGCCGGTTGCCGCTGCCCAGGAAGAGGAACAACGAGCTGCATTCCAGGCGCAGCAGGCTGCCGCGCCACCAACTGGTCCCAGGAATGCCCAGCAACCGATGCGCATCCGGTCGGACTACGTGCCCCGTGCCCAAGCCCGACGACTCAACAATGCCGGCCCAACCGCGCTGTGTCCCAACTGTCACCAGCAGATTCCAGTGGCGGAGCTGGATCAACACATGCGTATCGAACTGCTCGACCCGCGCTGGAAAGAACAGCGTGCCAAGGCCGACTCCCGCAGCGCGACGACCAACCTGTCGACAACAGATGTCTACAACAACCTCAAGCGTCTTGCAAGCCAGCGTGGCGACGTCTTCGACTCGTCTGTCCTCCCTGGCGCTGCGGACCCCGAAGAAGAAGCCAGGAGAAAGCGTATGGCCACTGGAGCGCCACCAGCGCCTGGTGCTGAAGGTTTCACGGGAATGGCACCTATGCAACCGATGGTTGGGCCATCTGGAGCACCACCGCATCCACAGAATATGAACCTTGAGGATCAGATCAGACATCTTCATGAGCGATACAGGCAATGATTTTGGGTTGGGGCGGATCATTTTTGCGGCGTTTAACTTGGGAGTTGGGGCCTAATTCACTTCTTTTGGTTTATTGTATAGTACTCTAAATCTTCAATGGAAAGCGGGTGTGAAAGTGATACCAATTGACATGCTTTAGTTCGTCAAATTTTGTATATCGAGGCTCTCGTACCGCGGATAGCAGCCTCAGCATAGCGACCCCTATTCCTACCACAACATACTCCATATCCCCCCTTGGCAAGCCGCATAGTCTGGATTTTGAGTGGCAATCGCCTGAGATACTGTACCTGCATAGACCCGGCTAATATGGTAGAAAACGGTGGAGTCACGGCTCGGGCCGAAAATGGATCCCAATCAACTCGTTTATTAACTATTAAGTGCATCTTATAATGAATACAAATCATGGTACCAGCACAGGACAAGCCCTGCTTCTCATATCTTCCGCTGGCCATCACGCCTCTCCCACCCAACAACCGCCGGCTTCACAGGCCCCGAAAACAGCGACGAGTAATCCGTCCCCGGCACACCCTTCTTCCCATCCACGTTAAAGAGCCGAACATGCCGCACCATCGTCGCCAAAATGACTCCAAGATTGACATATGCGAACTTCTCCCCGATGCACCGGTGTCGGCCCGCTCCGAATGGGAGGTACGGGCTAGATGTGCCCTTGGAGACGGCGCCATAGCCGTAGTCGACTACCTCTTCGTTTACATCATCATTATCGTCTTTCTGGTTGCCCTTGTCCCAGCGGTGAGGATCCCACTTGCTCGCGTTGGGGAAGTAGTGGTCGCTTAGAGCGGTTACGCCGGGGGAAGCGAGGAGGATGTGACTGGTGGGGATGACGTAGGGCGTCCCTGCGACGTGAAGGGGGTTCTTCACTTTGCGCATCAAGGAATGAATGGATGAATGGAGGCGGAGTGTCTCGCGAATAACATTTGAATGCAGAGGGAGACGGTCAAGGTCCTGATATCGGAGAGGAGGGAGCTCTTTCCCATCACGGTCAAGGTTGGCTAATTGTTCCTGGTAGAGTTCCTCAATGACTTCTGGATGAGCGGCTAGCCGCAGCATAATCCAAGACCCCATTGACGATGACGAATGCTGACCGGCCATCAGCAAGGTGATCATCATATGGGCGATTTCTTTATCAGGAACGGGCTGCCCGGTTTTGTAAGTGCAGTCCATGAGGTTCGAGATCATGTCAGACGTCTGGGTAGCGTTGGCCCCTTTCTCACTGTGACGACGATCATTGATGATATCAGTATAGATAGCCCTCATACGCGCATGGGCAGCGTCCCGTTTGTTATTGTGAGGCAACGGCGCCCAGGGCAACATGAAGTTGACAGGGCTAAATCCCTTATCCAAATCGTGATAGAGATCGGCAAATTCCGCCGTCAGCTTCGACCTGACCTCCTCACCCTGTAGGGCACGTGCAGCCGTGAAGATTGTGATCTCGGCCATGGCAGCAGAGATATTCACCCGGCCGGAGGAACCCTGGAAGTATGACGAAGTGTTCAGGTATTCGAGAACCTCCTCCTCAATGAGGGGGACGTGAGACTCCAGCGCTGACTGAGTGAGACCGAATTTGATGAACTTCTTCTGCTCTATCAGCTTGGCGTTGGGACAGTCGTATACGACGTCTGAGCCAAATACCGGCGTTGTCAGGGGGCTATAAACTTCCTCTGCGTTGACGTCTTTAAGCTTGCCGTTGAGGATGAATTCGTTGCCCTGGACGCCCAGGTAGACGGTGGTTTTCTGCCCGAGGAGGATGAAGGTGAAGATATCGCCATACTGTTGAAGAGCGGTTGTTAGCCATCATAATGTGGTAATAATGGATTGCATCTCAACTCACCTTTTCCCGGCAGTCAAAGAAGAACTTGTACGGGTCTATACCGTAGCTGATGGTACTGCCTAGGAAGGGGATCCAGTAGAAGACCAGGGGTGGTTGGCTCTTGTTCCATTGACGAAGGAGCAGTTGATAGGCCACGTTGATGAGTATGGCCAATAGCAAAGTCACTGCCGTATAGGCTCCCAGCACGGTTATCGACAACATGATCGTGCTGTAGAGAGGGAATCAGATGATACTAGCAGCGAATTTAAATAAGAAATAGGGAAGAGAAACGAAGACAACCCCCCCCCTCCCTCCCGGTGCAGGCACAAACGCGCAGAGGGCTCAATCCTAGTTCGCAGGCACCCTCGCATCGTTTCTATTTCCGTCTCGAATTTGATATCGGATTAGTTTTACCAGGCTCTCATTCGTCCTTTTCTGACTGATCTTTGCGGAGGCTCCAGCATTATTCCTGCAAGATTCTTTGTCGGGTCAGGGCAGTTCCGGGTCTCATGATGTTTTGCCGTTAATTTCCAAATACGGATGTCACGTGGGCCGTCTACTACGGAAAGAATGAAAAGAGCATGGCGCCATTTGCCTAAGGCACTTTACCTAATGGAGATGGCAGCGAGCAGTATCCCTAGTTACTTGTTGAGTTGTTGTAGTAAGATTGCAGAGAGCTCGGCTATGTCTCCGCAAATTGTTGATGACAAATCGGTGTTCTCTGTGAAGGCCGATGGAGAAGGCAGACATGCCCGAAATCCTTCTCGTCGCCAGATCCTTCTCCCTCGACAACATTTTATTTAGGATCAATTTCGTGTTAAAGACATCGAACCCAGCTCCATAAGCGCTTGAAAAATTCTCCTCAATGGCGCAACCGGCGTCCAGGGCCTCCCCGCCGTACGAGCCCTCTGCCCTCAGATAGGAGCGGTCATAAAGCATTGCCAAATAAGATGGACTGCGTAATTCGTTCACTTAGCCACCTAGATCTTCACCCCAATGGCGTTTCCATGAAGAATGCTAACCCACTCTGCAACCGTCGAGACCCGTGCAAGCAACGGCCAGACCTTCGTCGCGGCGTCTGTGAGTTCCTTAGAATATCCAGCGGTGGCGTCTTTCCTACAAGGGTTAAAACCGGTGTCAGCGACCGTCTTCTTTGCTTCAGAGCTACTCATTATCCTTACAACATCATGGCATTGTATCCCCTAAATTTCATTAAACCCGTAGTTAGACAAGCGTTCGACACCGGAGAAGGGTCACATACAACCCCAAAGCTTGACGAGTAGTAGCCTCCAAACAAGTGTTCGCTGTCAATCTAGCAAAAACAAGATTATCAATATCGTGCTGATGAAGCTAAAGGTCCAAATCCGTATCTCGAAACGAAGTATACAGCAGAGCCTTACCAGCCTCGATCCCCTCCTCTCAGCCCATCGAATGGCCTTACTCGCTATTCCAATGCCTCGAAACAATCACGTCTCCATTACCCGTATCAGGCTCGAGACCCTCATAGATCCTCGCCCCAAAGCTCCCTCCCTCGAAGAGCCGTCTCTTCTCCTGCCTCACGTTATTTGGAGTCATATGGCGCCAGCCATTGAAGCTGTTCTCCGTCCACTGCTGGTGGAGACCGTAGTAGATGGGATATATGGGAATACAGTCGGACCCGGGCGGCGGCGATGAGGTCTTTGAGGTGCTGGACGGTGTTGTTGTCCTCGATGTCTTAGAGGGTAAAAGTGGCTTTACCGTCTAGGTGGAGGAAGTCGTTGTAGGGGTCGATCAGGACGATGGCTGTTCGCGATGGGACAGGCATGGTAGCGTTGGCTTCAGCTGAGAGATATAATCCTGCTTGTAAGTTATTCTTCTCGTCTCAGAGAACGTACATAGAATTTGATGGAAGACATGATGGATTTACGTGGTCTTAGGGCTTCTTGTGTTGATTACCAATTCAACGCCAAAATGGTGACGCCAGCTTGATTACAAATTGAGGATGCTGCATCTCGTAGGACAAGGAAACAGGTTTCCTTCCTCGCTGGTTGCGGGAACAGAATAGGAGACCGAACAATTTGTCATCAACATGACACTCAGCACCCGCGGAATCCATCGGGTGTCGCTTTCATTGATTATCAATTTCCGCTCTTTGATGACAAATTGGCACTTGAAGCCGGTTCGGACATCGGACCAATCAACGTCGTTGACATGCTTACAAATTAGATAACTTAGTTAGTTAGGGCTTCCAAACAGACGGTGTATTACACAGAACACATCCTGCAAAAGCATTATTACAGCAAAGTCTGATTGCTTCTTCATCCAAGTTGTCTGCTTCCAGAGAATTGCATTACAATATACAAGTCACAGCATGAAACAAACCCAAGAGTCCTCCGATTTCCCACCCTCCGACGAGCCCAACGCCCACGAAAACCATGAACCCAAAGCACCTCCCGATGGTGGCCTCCAAGCTTGGATCCAAGTCCTCTACATACACTTGACATGTTTTAACTCCTGGGGCATGTCCAACAAGCTTTGTCGTCTTACTTTAGCCGGAATCGTGCCTTGGCTGTTGGGATCGCTGTGGCTGGTGCGGCTGTCGGGGGTTTGATCTATCCTATTATCGGTAACAGACTCCTATACCAAGACGCGATCGAATTCCCCTGGACAGTTCGTTTCATGGGATTTATTATGCTTGCAACGCAAATCCCATGTATCCTGTTATTTAAATCATATCGCCCTCCTCGAACCTCAGGGCCTGTTATCGACTGGAGCGCCTTCAAGGAGCTCCCCTTCATTTTCTTCACGATAAGCATGTTTTTTTCAATTTCTGGGGACTATATTTCGCCTTCTTCTACCTAAGCACATTTGCCCGTGATCGCACCGGCATCTCCAACTCCCTGAATCTCACCATGGTACTCAACGGCGTTGGCGTCGTCGGTCGAATCCTTCCCGGTATCATCGGGGACCGGGTCACGGGTATGCTGAACATATTGATACCACCGAGTTTCGCCGCTAGCCTTCTTGTTTACTGTTGGGCTGCTATCAGCACGGAAGCTGGACTGTATGTGTTCGCTGTGGTTTATAGAATTATCGCAGCGGCTTTGCAGTCGTTTTTCCCGGCTACGGCAACGACGATGACAGTATTGATAGGACGGGTACGCAGCTGGGGATGATTCTGAGTATGGTTGGTGTGGCTTCTTTGACTAGGCCTACTATTGAGGGTGCTTTGATCCAGGAAGATAACGGCGCGTATCTCTATGCACAACTGTTTTCGGCGACTTCGATTTTGATAGGTGCTTTGGCAGGCGTGGCGTGCAGGATTGCAAAGACGGGGTTCAAGCTCAAAGTGAAAGCATAGCTGTCTGTCCCAGTACTGATGGATATAATTTTGTAGTTGTTGCTGTTATATAGAAGTACTATAATGGTAACCATCTTCTAGCAATAGATGATCGACTAAAGTCATTTAACGGACATAGCCCACTCGCGTGAACGCCATCTGTGGCTTCCTGGGCACACATAGGACAGATATTTGGGTCACAGGATGCGTTTCCAGGACCTGTTCCCGTAAAATCGCCCGCCCCGAGATCTTCAGACTGGATTGAAAGGGACCACCCATACAAAAGGTGAACACCCGCTATTGTCTCGGTCTCTCTCTCCAGTATGTATCCTTGGTAGCTATGCAGTTGAAACTGCTGCTCGATTTGCATCAATGACCAGGCACAAGAGAAGTTGGTCAGCACATGTCGGATTTTGTGGCTCTAGAGCCTGTATCTTAGCATTGCTGGTGTAAACTCCTAATAATGTGGGCTCAAAGTCTATAGGATGGTGACGCGGTAAAGCCGTGCACGCTGGACTGATAGTGGGAAATCAATCATCAATCAGATTCGACAATTTCCGCTTCCAGCCCTGCAGTGTCTTGTTGGCGCGTTCCAGCTCGTTTCGTGTATTATTCAATTCCGATTCCAGTTCTCGATTCTTCGCCTTCAAAGCCTCAGTATCATCGGTACTAGCCTGTCGGTTTGCAGCTTCTTCCCAATACTTTTGCAGCTCGATCTCCGCAGCACGCCCCTTTTCGACGACTCTTTTGGTCAAAGCTAATTCATTCTGCCGTATACTCAGTTCTTGCCGTAGAGAAGATATTTGGAATTGAAGGTCGGAGATATTCTGTCGGAGCAATGGTACACTCTCCAATTCGCGATACACAACCCATAACGCAGAGTCTACTTCTTCGGGTAGGGTATTAAATCGAGATTTTCGCGGTGCAAAAGGCGCAGCTGATTCTCTTGGTGCTGTGGTTCGTTGGGTTCCGTTTGCCGTGTCTTCATGGTGCACTGCTTCGCTATTTACCCTTACTGGAGCACGAGACGCAGGATTGATTGCAGTAAATTTCGGCGTCCCCATACAGGGCGAATCTGGTGGTGTTATCGTAGGAGGAGCCAAATGCCAACCACGATCCACACAAACAGGGCAATACCATAGATGCGCATTGTCTTCACGCAAGAAACTGTCCTTTGGTTTGCAAGAAACATGGTACGACCTTTTACATGTGCCACAGGGTACCAGATCAAGTGGCTGATAGCATTCAAAGCAAATGTTGTCGTGTGGACTTCCCGCTCCTAAATGGCACATGTTAATACCCGGCAGACCTGAGCACTTGATGATTGCTTACCTCTCCAAGTTTTGTAGCGTCTTAAGTCTACAGACGTAGAGTCCGGCACAGCTGGCGCTGGGGTATTGCTCGTGTCATTACTTTGTGTCTGCATAGGAATTGTATGCTCTCCCTGTTGATTTTCTGCTGGCGGAGGATCAGTTGGAACTCGGGCACGCCGGCCGCGGCCTCGGCCTGAACTTGAAGCACGCCCTCGCCCTGTTTGTAACCGGGGCCGTTTAGCTTGTCTGCCATCGTCATGGTTATCCGGTTCACGCGTACCAGTCATTTTGAAGACATCTGGTGCCATTGAAACAAGTCGCAGGGCGTTATCGCGATGTTATACGCCGGATTACAAATCGGGGATGGCGCGAACCGGAGCGGAGAAACTTGCATCAGGTGGGCATAGCATAAAATTATGCACGCAATGCACGAAGCATATTCTCTTTTAGTCATGGCCAACGTTTGTTTAACTAGTTACCTCCGATTGAAGGACCTTGCTCAATTTTCGAAGTGTGTTGTTAGAAAGCAATATAGAAACTTGAAATGAAGCTGATTCATACATGAGACATAAAGGCCGCATATTGGTTTGTTCCAAGCATCCGGGTTCGAAATCAGATGCTATGAAAGAGAACACCTCTAGGGCTATTGACAGTGAGATTTAGCTCTAATGTGAGCTGCTCACCATGACGTTCCAACATATCACACATCAAATAATTTAGAAAAGCACAAATATCAATGTTTAAAAAAGCGATACAATGAGCTTCCGAAGAAGGTCCCAAATTGTCGTGCTGGATTTCTGTGGCTTATGCGGCCATGACTTTGAGACTTCAAAAAAGCACGCATTGGTAGATCAAAGCCAGATATCCCTCAAACGCGAAGAATGGGCCGAGAGCTACAAAAGGCAGAAATATACAGTTGGAAAACCAGAAGACTTGAGCGAGATTTACTTCCGATCACCATGGAAACGTTTCTACCGAGCCAGTAGGTGGAGCTTCGAAGAACAATGTACCATTATCTAACCAACATTGTCTCACTAGTCATCCATCAGGCGGACAGCGTGGATGAATACCGTCTCACTGGTGTGGCAATTTACAAGAATCAAGTGGACCATGTGTTCCCAGATGATCCTGAGAAGCTCATCTTGGGGGATCCTGAAAAGTGGCCTGAAAAGCCCCTATCAGCAGCCCTGGGCTATTTGCGCAATGGAAAGCCTTATACGATGCATAAGAAGAATGCATACCCTGTACACGAGCGGTGTTGGTCATTGATGCTCCGGATTCTGGACATTGGCCTGGTTGAAAAGCATCTTGATTCATCTATCAAGGTTCTCTGTCAACAGGCCGGAAAGAATAGAAATGCAAAAAATCTCTTAGTTAATATGCAGGGTTGTTGGAGGGAGCCGAAGAGAAGGTATAAGGATATGTCCTGGGAGGAGTCTGAGAAATATGCCAAAGCTTGCGAGCAGCAGATGAGTTGCACCGATGATAGTTGCTTCAACCGTTTCTATGCACCAAGAGACCCGTTCAATATACCGGAACTGCGCTCTCCTCGACCATCAGGAGACGGTTCTCGAGGAGGGTGCTCAAGAGGAAGAACAAGTGAATCAAAATGACCCAGCACCGCAAACGACGAAAAAGAGGAGGAAGGTGGCTCGGAAATCCAAGAAATTTTTGATCTAGGATAGAAAAAGAGGGTCTTCTAATGTTCAAACCGTCTTCCGATCAAAGCTGTTGGGTGCATGATGGATTTTCAAACTCGTATGGTGATGTCCTCAGTGACAATGTTGAAATCAGCAAACAACCCCGGAGGCCGCGGCCTGGTGATAACAGGTAAAAGGCGGAGGCTACATGGATGACATGCGAAACCATTCTCCGTCTAGCAAATAGACATTCATGGTTTCCGGAGGCGAAAAAATATAATCATCCTCGGCATCTGAGTTCTCGGTATACCGGAATCCCTTTCCCGTCGGCATTCAATTCACATTATCCGTTATGATACTTGAGCGGGATAATTTTCCCATTTCTTTTTTGTATCCAGTGAGTCAGACGGGCAGCTGCGAAGAGACTCTGTTTAAGTTTCTCAAGGATTCCACAAATATCGGTGCGGGGCAGGCGGGGCACACAAATATATAGAAGTCTCTAACTACCACCACAAATCAATTCAACCACATTATTATCACCTACAAAGTACTATACACTACAAGATGATCACCGGCCTCGCACACATCAACCTGCTCGTTCCTCGGGGGACCCTGGACCAAGCTTACACCTTCTACGGGGAAACACTCGGTCTCTATGCCGCGACGGTTCCCGAGCGCCAGAAAGGCACCATTGCCTGGTACGTACCAACCCTTACGAAAATCCATAACAATGCCTGATAAGTATATATATGCAACATACAGGTTCAACTTGACAGATGACCCCAAACCACAACAAATCCACGTCGCATTCGGCACAAATGAACCCGATTCGCCGCGACACCCGTGTTTTCGCATCGAATCGATGGAAGCACTACAGGCGTTGCGACAGCGTCTCTGGGAGCATCATTTAAAGGGAGATGCTGCGGCTCCAATGCATGTTGATAAGCCGGGGGAGAAGATTTCTGGTACGTATTTCTTTTTCCCTTGTAGTCCTCAATTTGCAAATATACTGATAATAAAGGCCCGTCTGGATTTGAGTACCCAAACCGATTTTTTGCCAGAGATTTTGCCGGGAATCTGCTGGAGTTCAGTGTGTGATTTAGATAAATCGACGCAAATGAATCCGGAAAAGTAGTCCGAGTGTGGGACTTATTCCGCTGTCATGGGCTATTTTGAAGCATGTTATTGGTAGATAGATGTTCCGACAGAATGGTTAGGCTACTGCCACGGGAGCTAAACGATTTCCGGTATAGTTCGGTACTTTATTTTCGTGGCGTGGCGGTTCAGACGATCAGGCGTATTTCACTTATTGTTGTTAGGCTTTCAGGGGTAATTGATGATCATAAGGCGGATTAATCTATTTGTTGCAGCTAAAACAATAGTACTTTACATAGTACATTAAGAAAGCCGTGTGATTCTGAAATAAGCACACAGCCCTGCGATCTTAACCTGATAAATTAGATTGATTAGAACTGCCTCGCAAAATGGCCCTGTCAATCGAGTACTTGAGGCTCTGATCTGGGGTCAAAACATAATCCTGTCAAGCTAGGCTTTCAGAGGATTACAGCGTAAGATGCTCCGTTAAACCGCTTGTGGAGATAGTACTATGTACTAACCACTTGCATTAGATTAAACGTGCATTTGGCCCATGATTTTCGATCAAGATATGCCTTGGAAGGTTTTGGCCCGTTATGTTCATATCATGCTTCACAACATCGGGCTTCTCTATACACAAAGAAGGCAGATAGCAGTGGGGCCGGATAGAGAACATAGCCTTGTCGACTTCCAACTTGTCGAATGGCACGATCAGAAAGACCATAAATAGAGGGCTGAAGTCCTCCCATCTAGCTGCATCATCAACAACAACAACAAATCAACAAAACAACAAAGCGATTCTACAATAACTAAGACAAAACAAATCTTGATACTTTGCCCTTTTTATCATCATAATGCGTGCATCTGCTTCACTTTTTGCCCTCGCGGCTGCCCTTTCCGGCTTCCATGGTGCCTCTGGTGCCGCTATTCCTCCTCCCAACGGACAGTCTTTGGCTCAATCGAGCATCCACTATCGCATTGGGACTCCGATCCAGACACCTGAAGCTGGAGCTGTGAAGCGGGATGAGAATGCCGGTAAGTTTTGATTTCGGGTAGTCGAGTTCTCGGTTTGAGACATTCGATAACTAACACTCGATACAGTACTACCCACGAGCGCCCAGGGATCTACGGACGAGGTGAATGGAGTTGACATGAATGGTGGTATTGAGCGCCGGGGTAAGGGCCGGGGTAAGGGCCGGGGTCGCAACCACAACAATAACAACAATAACAACAACAATAACAACAACAATAACAACAACAATAACAACAACAATAACAACAACAATCGCAACAAGCCCACCCCAAAGCCTCAGAACACTCCTAAGCCTTCTAATACTCCTCACCCTAGCCAGCCGGCTACCAACAAGCCGGCTCCCCCCAGCCAGTCCGCTCAGCCAAGCAAACCTGCCCATCCCCAGACCAACCAACCTAACAAACCGGCTCAAACGAACCAGCCTGCTCACCCTAGCTCATCCGCTCACTCTAGCCAGCCGGCTCCCAGCCAGTCTGCTCAGCCAAGCCAACCCGCTCAACCCAGCCAACCCGCTCAACCCAGCCAGTCCGCTCAACCCAACCAGCCCGCTCAACCCAGCCAGTCCGTTCAACCCAGCCAGTCCGTTCAACCCAGCCAGTCCGTTCAACCCAGCCAGTCCGTTCAACCCAGCCAGTCCGCTCACCCCAACGAGCCCGCTGAGCCCAACAACCCCGCTGAGCCGGACGAGCCTAGCGGCCCCTCTCACAACATCGAATTCAACCCCGAGATCAACATTCCCGACCCCACGCAATCGGATCCCACGCAGGACCCTGCACAAGACCCTGCACAAGACCCTGCCCAGGACCCCGCGCAGGAACAGGAGAACCCCGAGAACCCTGAGAACCCCGCAGCAGAGGCCCCTCCTGCTCCCGCTCGCCGCGACATTTCCAAGCGCAAGAAGCACAGCAGGCCCAGCAAGCCCACCAACAAGCCTAACAAGCCTAGCCAGCCCGCCAAGCCCAGCAACACTCTCGAGACCAACAACAATAAGCCTAGCAACACCCAGAACGCCCAACCTACTCCCCCCAACCACGCTTCTTCCTCCGCTCACCCTCAGCCTACCCCTTCGAACCACCCCAACGAGCCCAACAACCAGCCTGACAACGAGCCTGACAACGAGCCTGACAACGAACCCGGCCACGAGATCTCCATCAACCCCGAAATCAACCTCCCCGACCCCACCCAGGAGCAAGAGCAAGAACAGAACCCCGAGGAGAACAACGGTGACCTTGCCCGCCGGGACCCCCGTGGCAGCAGGGGACGCCACCACCACCACCACGTCGAGTTGAACCCTACCTTCAACTTCGCCCCCGCCCAGGGCAACGGTGATGACGACAGCAGCAACGATGACAGCAGCCTTGCCCGTCGGGACCCTCGCGGTGGACGCGGCCGTACCCACCACCACACCAACTTCGAGTTTAACCCTAGCATCAACCTTCCTGACACCCTTAACTTCGGTGGTGGCGGTGATGACAACGGGGATGGCGATGACAGCCAGAATTAAATGAGATGAGTGTATGAGAGAGATGGATTGATGTTTTGGTTTCCGGTTTCTTTATGTATTTAACGGTTTTTTTGTTTCTGTTTTGGAGTTTGTATTTGTTCTGGATACGTCCTGGTGTGTGCATTGGTTGTTTTTTAGACATTGGCGCCTGGTTAGACTTGTTGTATTTCTAGTCCTCAATTGATTTAGTCTGCAAATCACTTTCCTTTCCAAAATGTCTCAACCCCCCCACCCCTTCCCCCAAGAAAAGGCCCATGATTGACGAAAATTGAAGCGCCCTCCAACATAATCACCGTTAAGCCAACTAACCACAAGTCATACGACTCCGCCTAAGACGTTTCTGCCGTTCCTTATACGACTCCGGAACTGCAGACCACATAGCACTATACTCCTCCTGCGACAAAACCCTGCGAGTATCAGCATATCCACCCTGGCACTCCTCTACAGTCAACATCGCCAATCTCCTCGCTACTTCAGGCATCCCCGCACTGCGCCGAACCTCCATCCAATGCCCATCACCGAAGCCGGAGCTGTTGGCACGCCGTTCTGGTGGCGGTGGATACTCAGAGGTAACCTGGAGAAACATGACACCTGGTTCGGTGATGAAGGACGGTCGATCGAGCACGACTGCAAACAACTTGCAAGGATCTAGCAGCCGCTGTTTGTCGTAGACCCGATCTTTGGGATCGAGAGGGAGGACTCGCTCTCGCTGGGATTTCATATGGTCTAGATTTTGCAGGGCGCCTGAGGTGAACTGTGGGACTTGCAGGGACTGGGGGTGCTCAGGAAGGATAGATGATACTGAAGATGAATCTGGCACGCGGAATTCGAAACGGACTGTTTTGATGGCAGATATATGTGCGACGATGCTTGCAGTGAAGAGGCGAGCAGTAGTCTCTAGGAGGTCTGCAGGGTTCTGGATATTGCCCAGGAACGGGACATAGACGATGTACTGGAGGTTACATTCCTCAGAAAAATCAGAAGCCCCATTCGTGACCGTCACTGCCTCGGGCCCGAGGCCTCGAGTAAGATGCAATGTATCAAAGGAAAGGCCTTGCATCTGCTGCGTCAAGACTTCCATAATATGTCCGGGATCATCAAACAGTGATGGCACTGGCTGTCCCTCATCTTGATCAAGTCCATAATCTAGTTCACCACCACGGCAGATCCGAGTTGTAGCCCATCTGATATCAGAGCCTACACGCCGTTGATGGTTTTTAGCAATGGCCTCAAGCTCCCAGAGTTCAGGATAAACTCCAAACCCTTCCAGGCGTTCGACTATGGGGATCTCCGATAAACCACTTGGGATTCTGCGATCAAAATGAATCCATTGCGGTCCAGTCCCCAGAACCGCGCGGAAACTTTCAGAAGTGAGGAATAAGCAAAACCCCACACGGTCACGACTCTTGCAAAGTTTCTCAGCCATGGGAATCAGAGGAGGTAATGCCTTTGTAGATTGCCCCGCCGCTTCGGCCTCAGCATGAAGACGCTTGCGATACGCGATCTCGTGTCTCTGGTGCTCGACACATGAAAGAGCATTGCGCGGACGATAGGAATAAATCTCGAACTTCGGCGCATCAGGGGGGTCGGTTTCAGAGAGATAATCATCAAGCTTTTCATAATCATTCTCCTGAATTGGAATGGCACTGTATATCTGCACCGTGTATCTTGCCCTGCCCACTGGTTGAGTGAACTCTTCGTCATGTTGGATGAATTTACCAAGGACCACGGGGTTTCCTTGGTGATCGACGTATTCACGCTGAGCCCATCGATCACTGAGCACATCAACCGTCCCAGCTCTCGGGGCAGTTTGAGCGGTTCGTGCCATGATCTCGGTTGCGGCTGGTATTTTGTTGTTCGGTCCAGGATGGAAGGAGGGTAGTTTGCATTTATAGCAATGTAGTGATTTGAGGCTCTAACAATGGCCAAAGAATTCAAAAGATGGCGCAGGCATACACGTGGCCACCCTGGAAGATCACTTCGTATTCCCGTTGCGATATCCCAATTATAATTGTTACAGGAGTAGCTCTTGCCAACCTGACTTATAATAGGCGTGTATTAATTATATTAAGTATGTACATTAAACTTTAATAACAGTCATAACCACTTCAAGCAGAAGAATGCATCCATTTTATGCGCACCGGAATCAACCCGTGGCAGGTATAAATAATTAATAAAAACCCAGAGTATCACCGACAATGGCCATGCATGATAAACAAGCAGAAACACCAGCAAGCTGCCAGAGAAATTCACAGCATCAAATGCGGCCATTGCAAACAATCCCAATGTGAAAACCTCACCAGATAATTAAAAGAAAACCCATATTATACAGGTTATAAGGATAAACCGTAGTAATACATGAAACATGCCGCTGCTCGAAAAGATAGGGAATCGAAAACCGAATCAAAAGGAACGTGAAAGCAACGTGGACCGGAAAGGATTATTAGAGCGGACATGTCGAGAATAAAATGGTATAAAGTTTTGCAAAGCGAGAAATGAGAGGCCGAAGCGCGAAAAATAATAATCATCATGAACGCCAGAATTCATTGTCTGCGTGGGACGGATCATTATCCGTCATCCCCAGTTCAAGCGGTCTCCTTTTCGATAACCGGCTCGACAGTTTGCGTCGTTAATTGTTTAATTGGTGCATCATTTTCTTCAGACTTAGGAGATTGGATGGCGGCAGAGACCGTCACCTGCTCAATGGTAGGCTCATAGACCTCTTGCCCCAAATCCAGCGGTTCCGGCTGATCGGTGTTGACGGCCGAATACACAGTGCTCGCGGGAGATGCGGAGCCGGCGGATACGAAGGGGTCCTCGTACACAGACGCTCTGTCGTAGTCGCTGTCATCATTGTAATATTCGTGGTAATCATTTTCTGCATCGGTCTGCACGCCGGTACTCTCAAGTATCGACGGTTGAAGACCATCGACTTGCGCACCCGTCAAGCCATTCACAGGGGCGTGGGAATACAAGGGAACAACGCCAGCGCCGACGCGCGACCAGAACATCCTCTCCCGTAGACGAACTGTTTCTTCCCAAGCATCCTTTTCTTCTTCGGAATCGCCGGCCCGGACATGTCCGTCAAGGATAAGACGGAGGTATCCGGTGAATTCACAACATGACCGCGTCCTCTCCAGACAGAGAGAACACAATGGGTATCGTTGAGCGGCCTCGCTATCAGATGTTCGGAAACGGTGGCACCGTTGGTACTCAGGTGCGGCCCTGCGCTCGCCACACATTGCACATGGGTCCCTCCCTGTTGGTGGCATCGGCTCTACTAACAAGCTGCCCTCACAAATACCATTTATGACCGTACGTCGCGTAAGCCATGAAATTCCTGGAGCGAGATCAAGTCTGAGAGTTGGTTCAATATCCTCAACGAGAGCCCTCTTGTAGAACCGCTTTTCCTTCAATGGAGAGTGCGAACTACCGGGCTGTGGAGAAGACATACTCCCACTGGGAGAATGAGTTTGTGATTTGGACGGCGACGAAGATGTTGAACCAAAACTTCCACTGCCAAAGTTGGCAAAGCTCATCACATTTAGACCACTGTACGATCCGCTGGGCGCCCGGCTGGGAGGCCTTGACTGCGGCACGTGAAATAGGTCACGAAAATCCTCAAATGCTTGATGTTCCGTCCGGCACACAGTCTTGACCAAATGTGGGAAGCTAGTAGAGGGACCCGGTAAGATGTCCTCAGTCGGTTGTGCGGGTAGATCTTGGTCCAGAGGTTGTGCGGTTTCCTGGTTCTTCTTGACCATCCCTTGCAGTGACTGACGGCGTGCAGCTGGTGACGAGGGGGCGGTGGAGGCGATCGTGCGAGTATCGGTGTCATCCTTCGCAGGGTTCATGCCCTGCATGACAGCTTTCAATTCTGCTAGTTGATCTTGATGCGACGCAAGAAGGGATTCGGTGTCTTTGACCTGAGCACGGAGTTGCTCATTCTTCTTTTCGACTTCTTCTCGCTCGAGTTTGGCAGCAGCAACCATCTAGATAAGTTAGTTGGAATGTCCAAAATAGCGTAGGAGGACCAAGAATGAAATTACCTTATTAGCTTCCTCAAAGAGAGCAGCAGTAAGGGTCTCAAGCTCTTGCTCGATGGTCTTTTTGCCCTTTTCGATGGCTGCCCGCTGTGCTTTCTCTTCTGCCAAAGCATCTTGTAAACGGGAAATCTCCTGGTCCGAATCGGCCTTTCTGATCAACACTTCCTGGTCGATGTCTCGCCGATACTTCTCATTTTCGAGCTCCAATGTTTGGACCATGGTCTGAGCCTGTTCCAGTTCCTGGCGGGTAGCGACCAGATTGTCATCGAGGGTAGTTTGGTTGTTGATAGCCTGAACAAGCTTGACACTTAACGCAGCGACCTCATCGTTCAGGTCAGGGTGATGAGAGGCCGGTGATGACTCCTCTGACTCTTCCATTGGAGCTGCAAGTCTTGGGTCCTTCAGCGTGCTAAAACCACTGTCGGTAAAATTTCCTACGCTCGTCGACCGGACAGCCGGTGTTGGCTTCTCGGATTTGAATCTGGACAGCCCATCCGTCGACTTGGCCCTTGTAACGGCCCGGTCGGGGGATGGTGTTCGATTACCGGACGAGAGCGATCGTCTATGATTGTTTGGTCGTGAAATCATCGTGGAAGGTGAAAGGAAACTGTGACGTGAATAATATGTGTGGAAGGCGATTAAACTGACCATAAAAATTAGCGATTTGAATTCATTGAACGCAATGAAGGAAAGGCAGGAGAAAGAGAAGAGAAGGAAAGAGAAATCAGCATACTCGGCCATGATGAATAGCGTTGATAGTAGTGAGGATTAAGAGAAGGTGAGTATAGATGGAAAATATGCGAAATGAAGGCCGCAAGGTGTAGCTTATTATAGGTGATTTATACACCACACCGATACCTTCTCTTTAACCGTCAAAAAGCCCAACGAACAAAAGAACTGCTGGCTTCCATGCATGTAACAAATTTGACGCAACGTCCCCACCAGCGCGCAGATTGGAGTATCTAACCGATCGGAACAAGAAGCATTGAGTCGCGGACGGATTGAAGGCTGCAGATACGAGGAGGCGATGCGAGAATTATAACAAATTATTTCCGAGAGGGATCAGACAGCGACAAGCGAAGAGGAGACAGCGAGGGATAGCAAATGGGGAGAGGGGGTGCGGCTCTAAAGGAGAGGAGGAAAGAGGAGAAGGAGAGATCGCACTCGGTCGAATCGGGGGCAAGGGAGTGTCAGACAGGCGTGCGACAGACGATAATGCACGCTTTGTTGGTGTTAATGCAGGGAATGAACGAATCGACGAATTGAAATCAGAGAGCGATAGAATTGCAGTCGTTGAAAAAAAGTTAATCACGAAGGAGGGAAAAGAGAGAAGGGAAAAGAAGAGAGACAGAGAGGAAGAGACGAAGCCAGACGGGGAGGCGAACGGGGCACGTGCTGGTGGAACTAAACCTGATGAGGAAGTCGATCTGCTTTGGTCACAGCTCCAATACGCTTACTTTACAGGTACCTCTACTTGTAGTTGTAAGGAGATACCGTTATGTATTTTCAAAAGGAATATGTACAGGTTAGTATCTGTCATCATACATTGCATCGTCTGATCTCACAATGTGCATCTGCCCCATTCCAATAGCCTCAGGCTACGTATGCTTACAATTTGACCAGGAACATGTGGTCGGCAAGATCGACTCCGGGCGGAGGTGCCGGCTTAGTACCAATTAGGAATAGCTCGTCTTCTTTTTATAGTCCTTCAAACGCCGTCCGTTTTAATGTCCTGAGTTCTGTCGGGAAAAAAGCATTGATCTTTATGATATCGACTAGATGTCTCTATTGGGAGAAATCTAGATAGGTACCGATATCCCGGTATTCCAGAGCAATCCCGATTTAAAGTACTGTACAATAGTGCTGGGTCTCGGATAGACTATATGATATCAAGATTCAATAGACGCCCGACCGACCCGTTCTTGGCGGCCTATGACGACACCAGCGCATCCCAAACTGATAAGCGTATTCTTTCTGAAACACGCTCAGTCGACGCGAGCGCTTAGCGTGTGGGAGTACGTGTACGGAGTACTATCAGAGTACTCTTGTATAATGGCAATACTAATGGTAGCATAGTATAGGTGGCACTGGTTCAAGCTTCAGTTCACCCATGGTCAAGGTTATCGCGGTTAAATACGGGGAAACTTACATACCCCTGTACGCCACTCATTTTCAGTCACATGACTCGCGCGTGGCGCCCCACTATGTTATGCCTTAGTGCCTCAGGCGGTGAGCGGGGGTGCAAATTGATCCGTCAGCGGCTCTGCGATAGTGACAGCTCGATACGGGGATTCAATACTAGCGCCGGTAATTTCTTTTACTACGAATTGCTCGATACCGTTTTCTCCCAGAAAACTTCGCATATACAGACATCATGGCCGACGCAGAGCTAGAGGAGGTTAGTATGCAGAGCCTTCTCGTGACGTTCGTGCTTTCTTGAGGCACATGCTCAGTGTCTATACAGATCAGACGTGCCCGTCTGGCACAGCTCCAGCAGCAGGGTGGCTCCCGTGGGGCCGGGGGTGAAGGCCAGGAAGACCAGAAGAGGTGAGAACCCACACTAATACTTGAGGTCCTGCTTGATTCTGACTGCTTTTTCCCTACAGGGCAATGGAAGGTATGCCACGTCCTACCCCATCTATCCAAACAGCAGACCACTTACTCATCCCTAATAGGTGAACGCCGCTCCGCCATCCTTAACCAAATCCTCGAACCCGAAGCCGTCGACCGTCTCAACCGCATCCGCCTCGTCAAGGAATCGCGCGCCGCCGATATCGAGAGCCGGCTCATCATGCTCGCACAGACAGGCCAACTCCGCCAGAAGGTCACTGAGGAACAGCTCAAGGACCTGCTGAATGCAATTTCAGAGAACCAGCGCAAGACTGAGGAGGAAAGCAAGATTGTTATCAGCCGGCGGAAAGGTGGTTGGGATGATGATGATGATTTGTTGGATCTGTAGGGGTTTCGTGTTGAATTCATGTTAGGCAAAAAAAAAAAAAAGGCTATTGTGGGTTTAGCATTATAACGGGTTGTACGATTTGGTATTTCAAAGAACCCTTCATGGCGTTACGATTCATCTTCACCCTGCATCTAAGCCTTTGGAATGGTATTCGCTCTACATAAACAGACATAATCATACAAATTCAGTCAGAAACCAGTCTACCCCGACATCTGCTGCTCCTTCTCTCTCTTCTTCTGCTGCCGGATCATCTTCCTGATCTCTCTTAGATCCGGCGGCGCCTCAATGTTCAACTCCTCCCGCAACTCATCCACATTCTTCTCCAGCACCTCCTCCCAATAAACATTAATCAACTCCTTACTCTTAAGCCCAGCCCTAACCGCCCACGGCAAATGCAATGAAAAGAACCTCTCCTTTTCCGCCGGCTTCAACCTCACAAACGCAAACAGACTCAACCCCGTCATCGGAATAACCGTATTCAAAAACTCAAACGCCTTCAGCGCCAACTCCCCCTCCACAAAGACCGGCAGCCCCGTCACAGCGTGGTAGAAGTCATGACACTCGCGATACCGCTGCATAACATACGCACACTCTTCGTCGTCGATGTACTGCACGTTGTCGCGGGTGTCTGGGGAGACGCCCTCGCGGTCGAGCCAGGCGGCGTAGGTGCGGCCGACGGAGTTCTCGGGGAGCGAGCGGAGGTAAGGGAGGGGGAGGGTTTCGGAGGTTATGCGGGGGCGGTCGCGGAGGATCCGTCGGCCTGTTGGGTCGGAGAGCATGGCATCGCGGAGGCGGTAGATGAAGTAGGGTGTTGCTGTGGCTTCGCCTAGGGCGGCGATGAGGTCTGATGCAGTTCTGGATTAGTATGTATTCTGTCGCGCGCTCAATTGGGATTAATACCTCCTCTTCGAGGATTTAAAAGAGACCCAACCGCAGAGCCCACAGCAAGGGCGCCGCGTTCCACAAACGTCAATGGGACATGTCCGGGATACTTTGGCGGAGGACGGTTGAGCACGGAGAAGGACCGCACACAGCAAGCTGGTGTGAGAGGTATTGGCCGAGTCAATGCTCGAATACCAAGTGTTCCACGACTCCCTAGGACCGACATTTTGTGTCTAGGGCGTTGTGTACATTAACCCTTGGCAGACGGAAGAGAGTGACATGATCGCTGTTCGGGGAAGTGCAGAAGCTCCGGCGGGCACGTGCCACCGCCGCTGATAGACTGATTGATAAACGATAAGAATTTGGACTCGAAATATTCAGGGCTTTGATGTGGAATGAGTCTCGATTATTGAGAATCTAGCACTGTATTATTCTGTATATCTCAATTGCCTACTCTCAATTCTGGACACGAGATCTGGTCTTGGAACTCTTCCCATTCTGGTCTCGTCATAACTTCCGCATCAGTCTCAACCAAGAAATCGTCTACAACAAAATGAAACCAACCTGGTGGCCCGGAGAAGAACATGAATCCTTCACAGAATGGGCTGTATCCCAAGGAATAACTCCCAATGGAATTGCCCCAGCCCGGTTCCCAGGCCGTGGTCTGGGCATGATAGCCACGCGAAATATCAAAGTACGCCTCCCCATACTCCCTAAAAACACAATTGCTAATCAATCTACTACAGAAAGGCGAATCTCTTCTCAGAGTACCATTAGAAGCAATGTTCACCATAAATTGCATCCCTGAATCATTCAGCAGCAAGTTCCCCGAGGGAACGCCCGTCCATGCCCTATTCGCAGCATTCTTTACAAATAGCGACGCTGAAGCCCTCCAGAAATACGACCTCTGGAGAAACACCTGGCCCAGTCGCCAGGATTTTGAAGATAGTATGCCAATTGTATGGCCTGAATCCCTCCGGGGGTCGGACCCCGACCAGACATTGCTCCCTCCATCGATATCCGGGACCTGGAATACTTTCCAGAAGCGAATGAGCGAGTATCCCTACGACTCATCTCACCAGAGCCTTCTCCCTCAGCAGGAGAAACGGTTACAGGCTGCATGGGAGACGGTCATTTCTGTCTTTCCGGAAACAGATTGGGAGACGTTTTCATATCACTGGCTTATTGTGAATACAAGATCGTTTCATTATCTGATGCCCGGGGAAGAGGCGCCGGAGGATCGGAATGATGCTATGGCTTTGTTGCCTTTTGCGGATTATTTTAATCATTCGGATGTTATAGTAGGTGCCATTCTAACTTCTGCTTTTGGGATGAGTTCTCACGGATTCATGATATAGGATGATGTGAAATTCAATGGCAAGGAATATGTCTTTCGAGCTACGAACGACTACGGTATTAACCCCTGTCTCTCATCTTTCCAGATCGAAACTAACTATATCAGACGAAGGAGAAGAGGTATACATGAGCTACGGCCCTCATCCGAACGACTTCCTCTTTGCTGAATGTAAACACAAATCTATACAAAACCCTCACTTATCCCAGCTGACTTCAGGCAGATGGTTTTTTCCTCGACAAAAACGACTGTGAAACATTATATCTCGACGATATAATTTTCCGAGATCTTAATCCTTCTCTCCAAGAAGAACTTAATCTGCAGCAATACTATGGGTACGTACCCCTATCGCTGTTCTCATAGATGATAACTAACAACCCTAGTAACTACCAAGTAACATCCACCGGCGCTTGCTACCGCACCGAAATCGCAGCATGCATCAAGTACATGACACCCAAGAACTGGCAGAACTACGTTCTTGGGCACTCAACCAAAGGCGTAGACGATAAGAAGACAGAGACTATTATCCGCAAATGGATAAAGGCTTACGCCGGAGAGGCCAGCACGACGGTTGCAAAGGTGGGGGATATGACTAGTCAAACAGATGGCAGAATTGAAATGCTTCTGAGACGGTGGAAGCAGATCTATGATTTGTGTCAACAGGCAGTGGAAGCCGTGTCTTGTTAGAGTGCAAATACAATACATGAATGTATATAGTCCTTGGATAATAGATTGTTTCAAAAGAGAGATAGATCTCATTGTTCATCCTCGAACCCCGAAAGATCCATCGGAACAGCCCCCGATTCTCGCTGGTGCAGTAACGCTACCCTAGCTTGCACCATCTCCTTAATCATAAAGTTCACTACGCATTTGATCCCAAGCTCCTCGCCCCGCCGCACGATATAGCCGTTGATATATTCAATCTCCGTCGCTTTCCCACTCAACATATCTTGAAGCATGGAGCTCATGTTGTGACGAGTCTTGCTTGCAAGCTGCACTGCCATCCACCGCAGACGTTCCGGATCGAAACGCGCTTCGATCCCTGGGATGCCTTGCACTTCCGGGAGGGCTAGAATCACGCTAGATATCTCGATGAGAAGTAACCGCATGACTCGGGTGAATTTGTAGTTGTAGAGGATCTCGCCATTTTTGCATTCCATGAGAGATGTTAGCGGGTTGATCACCGCATTCATGGCTAGCTTCTCCAGCTGGTACTGGACGATGGACGATGGCGTTTCTGCGAAGGCAACGAGTGGTGGTGTGAGGGTTAAGGTGCGTAATAGGTATTTCGTCGTAGGTGCCCAGTCTGCGTCATTGTCACCCGCAGTAGCAACAACTTCCCGTGACGGTGCAGGGCTGAGAACAGTGGTGCCGATACCAGTATGAACCACCTGGAATGGCGACATTTGGTACAAACCGTGGGAGAAAATGCCCGTCATGTAATGCGGACGGTTTGACGAGTCCGGGAACACCTTCTCATTGAGCTCATCGATCGTTCCCATTCCATTTTGCAGTAGGAGAATGGTAGAATCCCGAGTCAAACGGTGGCTGATGGACGACACGGCTCTGACCGTTTGGTTTGCCTTGACAGTAACAACCGCACACTCAATTGTGCTATCGTCTACCTCCGACTGTGCTAGTGACTTTTCGATATTGCCGTCCTTGAGCTTCTCGCTAAGAGTCCTGTCTCTCTCCTCCGGTTTACCGTCTTTATCCCAGGGTAACGAATACCACGTATCACTGTCGCTGCTCTTGACATTTACGTCGAAACCAGACTTGACATCGTCCAACCCGTTCACGTTTATCGCTATACACTCTTTCTTCGAGATCCATGATCGATAGACGTTTGAATGATGTAGGAGTAAGGTCATCGGCGGCGGATATTGGCGACCCGCTAATGAGTGGGCAACAAACGACCCTACATTTCCAATTCCAAGGAGGTGAATTCGCCCGGATAACGGGCGTGTGCCGGTCTCTCTTGCTACCTCATCTGCATCTTGCATCCATGTTGACGAGAATCGGTTACTAGCCCACCGGCCCGGACGATGTCCCGCAGCAAGACAGAAGTCGCACACCCCCGTCCGCAAGAGCGGACGACGTCCTAGTATGAGCAACACTTTGAAGGATTGGAAGGGAAGGATCTCCAATAGCTAATATGGAAAGCTCTTTATTGTCGGTACTCGGGAAACAAGTACTATTAGTCGCGCAACGATAACTAGGTTCGCATTATTGAAGGAACGACAGTTTCAACAGAGATAGTAAATCTAGAACATAATAACGCCTACACGAGGCAAACAAAAGGTGATGATAGAATGTGTTGATGCCGAAATCAACGGAAATGATAAACGAGGCCGAAGATACTGACCGCCCGACTCACCGCCTGTAGATAAAAAATCGTCATTATGCAGGTGCTTTCGTTTCTCCAAACCCAACTTCTTAACGATCACCATAGCCGAAATGGAGGCAAAAGAGCTTTTTCCGGTGCTTGAACAGCTGGATGATGACATTGACGATGTGGAAGAAATGATCCAGCCGCTACTTAACCGTTCTCTCGCTGAGACGTCCAAGAATCTGCCTGTCTTGGACAAGGCGAAATTCTACGTTATGGTAACTTACGCGCTGGAAAATGTGATCTTCTGTATGTCTCATTTATATCCGCAATATAGTCTCGATCGAGGTTTTCGCTAATCAATTCATAGCTTATCTGAATCTCCGTGGGGAAGACCCCAAAGCGCATGCAGTGTGGAGAGAGCTCACCAGATTGCGACAATATTTCGACAAGATCAAGACAGCAGAGACAGGACCTGAACAGCGCACGATGACTCTCGACAAAGAAGCTGCCAATCGGTTCATTAAGCACGGACTCGTATGTATCCCTGGTATCTCAGATTGGCACTGGTACTGACCTCATCAGGCTGGAAATGATAGAATTGACCTAGAACGCAAAGAACGAGAGGCGAAGGAGAGAGCAGTTGCTCGGCGAAAAGAATTGGAATTGCTTATGAAGTCCGTGAAGTCGGAACAATCTTCCAAAAATCCCTCGGGCGATTCAAGATCTGATGCGAACTCCGACCCTGACGAAGACGAAGACGGCGGTTCCGACAATGAAGAAACGATGGCTCAAAAACCAGTAGACGTCCCTCGTTCTGAGAAAACAGAGAAGACCGGAAAGAAGAATAAGGACAAAAACAAGCGCTTCAAGCAAGGGAAGAAACTTGACAGGGAAGGACTGCGCAAGGAAAACACGGAGAGGAAACAGAAGAAGAAGAAGAATCGGAAGGAAAGAGATGGGAAGTGAAAGAGGCAGATTGAATAATGGCCTCTAAATTGAAGTAGGACAACAGCAGGACATCGAAACGAAACCATTCTAGCGATCAGCTGGCCTGGTTCCAGCATAATATTGCACTAATGTCGATGGCGCGGCTACGATCCAGTGGCCTCCAGGCAGATGCCTTCTCAGACAAGCTCCTGAGATTATAAAGAGCTTGCGCTCTTCGTTTTACGAACGGGCATTGTCCTGCACTGCTTCAGCAGCGCGTCCCTGGTCGCGCAGGACCCATAGATAGATACCCTTGAAGGTTCCATGGAGTTATAGAGAACAATCTGAACGCATTCATCACGACACAGGTACTAGACTTTACATAGCCATGCTATTCATACTCCGTGACTCATATTCGGTGTTTTCGGACGGAGATAACAGTAGAGAATCCATGTTGATCATTCCTGAGGATTATAGAATCCGTAAACGCAGAGAAGAATAGAATAATAGCTATTTCTTTGATATATAAGATAGCACAAAGTAAACAAATACTGATGGAGACGCTGATATCTGTATCAGGTCCTGTAAATAATACAACAATACTGTTCCTTGCTACCGAACTTTCCCACATAAGATACCGCTTATTGTATTCCCCGGTATTTCCCATAATCTGCTGACAAAGGCCACTTCCAACCAATAAAAGCCCCCGAATTTAGCAGCTGCATCGGAGTTTTCGTTTTGTCCGCCGATGCTTCGAGCTTCTTCTTTCTCCTCCATATATAAACCCACCGCGCTCCTCTATCCGAACTACGTCAACCCTCACAGTTATCCTACCCATCTACCACAACAACCTACCTATCATCAACATGCCTCGTCAACGTCGTGGTGCCGCGCCGACTCCGGCTCGTAGCGCTCCCACCAGACCTACTGCCGCTCCTCCGCGCCCAGCAGCCGCTCCCCAGCAGCAGCAGTACCAGCCTCACTCGACCGCTGCTCACCCGTCGCATGGCCAGCAGCACGCTCCTCCCCCGCCTCAAGCCCAGCAGAGCCAAGGCCCCGGTCTCTTCGGCCAGATGGCCTCGACCGCAGCGTAAGTTGTTTACCGAGGTGGCGAGCACCGGGATAAGATGGATCATGCTAACGTGTTTATCTTTCTACAGTGGTGTCGCAGTCGGTTCTTCCATCGGCCACGCCATCGGTGGTATGTTCGGCGGCTCCAGCGCCCCTGCTGAGCCGCAGCAAGCCGCTCCCGTCGATTCCCAGCCCATGGACAGCGGACTTTGGCAGAGCAACGCCGCTACCCAGTCCTACGACAACGCCCCTTGTGCTACCGACATCAAGAGCTTCCGTCAGTGCATGGATGACCACCGGGGTGATATGAGCATTTGCGGTTGGTATTTGGATCAGCTGGTATGTTACAACGATATTGTGGGAGATCGGAAATGGGTTACATGATGCTAACTATGATACAGAAAGCTTGCCAGGCTGCTGCTAAGCCCTACTAAATTGGGTGAAGTTGCGCTTTTTGCAGTTTGTGCTTTTCAGTTGTGAGATACACATAGATATCCAGCTACGGTGCTTTGCAACAATATTGGGATGTTGATATGATTTGTATTTGTATAGCGACATAATGTCCTCTCATGTATACCACTGAGGATTTGTATTTTATTATTTGATGCGTCTGATGACTCTGCCTATTCTCATGCGATATATGAAAGACAGAATCAAGACAAAGAACACTCTCCATTCCACTTTGCATACAATTCCATCAATTCAAGGTGTAGTACCATATGGTTTAATCTGAAGTTATGCTATACAACTTGCGAGATGCTCAATAATGATAGACAGCCAAGTAAAACAAATAACACCGTAAACGCCTTAGCAAAACAATTCACAATGACATGCACATCATTTCATCGCTGGTCAGAGTTCTCGCGTGGTTGAAAGTTAAGCTAACATTAGGTGTCAGTAGCTGCAAAGTATTTCCCATCGAATGAATACATACCTGATTTCCGTTATAAAACTGGTTATTGCCCTGCTCTCTTCGCTGATCAGCCAAGGTCCGGATATTCGGTCCCCGGGACCCTGCAGGGCGTGATGCTGTCCTTCTAGCATCGCCAGATGCTGAAGGTTCGGTAGCAGAAGAGCCCTCCGACGCTGTTGTTTGTCCATACCCGAGCCACGAACCGACATACCCCGCTGCAGCGCCCACTGTAGAAGTAGCCAAGTCATAAGCGGAGCTTACTGCTCGCACGGGCAGAGAGTCTGAACCCGTGTATGCCTCTGTATATGACTGAATAGGGACCATGACCAGGTTGGCGGTTGCTCCAAGACCTAGATACTCTTGTAGTGTCTGCTCTTCGTCGGCGATGGTGAGAGTGCGGTTTGGTAGAGGAGTGAGAATGTGTTTGAGGTTGAATGGGTGCTTCTCATCCATTTGATCATCTAGCCAGGGGCGGACGTCTTTGCGGATGGTTTGCGAGGGGTCGAAACTTGAACGGACGGAGCTGCCATCAAATAGACGGATTTGGAGACGGTATTGTTTTGGAACTGTTGGGGTTGGCTTCGGGTGTACTTCCGTGTCGCTGGTTTTGCTGGTAGTGGAAGGCCCTGGTGCTGCTTTACGCGGCCGAGGGGTCTTTTTGTTGAGTTGCTTGGTCTGATTGATGTGACTTTCTTGTTGTTGCTGTGGTGTCTGTGATGGAGTCTTGCTTGGTGTCGCTCGCTTCGGTGGTTCTGGTTTTTGCGCAGACGGCTTTTCAGCACGTTTGTTCCCATCCCGAGGTGTCTTCGTGTCATTCGTAGCTGGTGCGGGTTGAGATTGGGATTGCGCGATTTGAGGAGCAGGCGGGGTTAATTGAGCGGCAAGTGCCGGGTCAGATGTAGGTTCAGCAGACGCAGCAGCAGAACTACCCCCGGCATCTGTCTGTGTCTGTTGTGGAGCTTGCGACGATTTTCCCCCATCTTCCAAAACGGCTCGAAGTCGCGCGCGGAAATCCTCCTTCGAGATTTCGGGTATGATGTACTCTCGCATCATGCCATCTCTGTAAGCAATTCAAATATTAGCCCGCTGACCATCGTTGATCAATATTGAAGTGTATGTTGACAGTACCTGATAACCACGAGACCCGGCAACTTTGGGATCGGACAGAACGATGTGAGGTATGTAGCTCCCTCGCTTCCCACTGGGAGTCGCAACGTGATGGCCTCTTCGACAAATACTTGCGCAAACTGCAAAGACATTAGATTTAACGCGGCAAATGGTTGTAGGCATCGGGATCGAAGTAGGTACCGTAGGGTCGTCTGCGAGGTATTCGTTCTCCCATACGTTGCTCAGCTCCTCATCATCTGTCCGAAGAATCGTACCAGTCAGCATAAAGCTCCAAAGCAAACTATAGATATAAATAGCTCCTTGTATAGCGGATATTGACATGTAGACATCCAGTAGCTGTCAACGGAGATTCATCAACGTACCCCGAACGAAGCAGACAACTGCCTTGGACTGGCTCACGGCAACAGCGATTCCCTCCTGAATATTTCCCTGGTAGAACATGGCGACTATCACATACAGCAGCCCAAGAAGACAAAGAAAAGAAAAATGGACAGAAAATGTAATGAAATGAATGTAGTCCGGGGTTGAACAAGACGTCGGAGGAAGTTGGCTGCGGTCTCCGATCACCGAGCACCGCGGCGGAATCTTAACCACTATCAACCGTCCCACGACACTCCAATTTGTCGTCCATACAGACTGACAATACCAATCCAAACCAATTACTCAGGAGGAAAGTGTCAATTGACATGCGATCAATCTTCTCTGTCCTAAACCGGACCGCCGCAAGATCATGGCAACCACCAACACGGGCATTCCGGAGCCCTCGCATCGCATCAAAACTGGACTCAATCTGCGCCAGATGTCGCCAGCACCAGATCCGCTTCTTAAGCAATAGCCGACAAATGGGAGATGAACAACGATGGCTCTCTGTCGTCGACCATCCAGCACAGGTTGTCCGTGTTGGGCGCAAGCATGGACCCGGGTTGATTATTCTCGGTTAGTATAGTCACTACTGCACCAACCCTTTTCTTTGCTTTTGCTGAATGGCTGTGCGTTGTAGCTCTAATCCCTATTATCTCCTTCGCCCTCGGAACATGGCAAGTCCAACGCCTCGACTGGAAATCAAATCTCATTACAAAATTCGAAGACCGCCTCCTGAAACCACCCCTCCCACTTCCCCCGCGCGTCGACCCAGACGCAATCACCGACTTCGACCACCGTCGAGTCTACGCTACCGGCCGTCTACGACATGATCAGGAGATGCTTGTTGGTCCGCGCATGCGGGAGGGAGAGGAGGGTTACGTTGTTGTGACTCCGCTGGAGCGGGACGACGGGCAGAGCACCGTGTTGATTAACAGAGGATGGATCTCGAAGAAGTTGGCGGATCAGAAGGTTCGAGCTGTTGGGTTGCCGCAAGGGGGGGTTACAGTTGAGGGGTTGCTACGGGAGCCTTGGAAGAAGAATATGTTTACGCCGGAGAACGAGCCGGAGAAAGGGAGGTTTTATTTTCCTGATATTGAACAGATGGCTGAGTTGACGGGGAGTCAGCCAGTTTGGGTTGAGGAGACTATGGGTAAGTCTATCTGTATTCTATAATTGAGATAGCTGGTTCTAACTTTGCAGTCCCGGATATGATCGAGGCCTATGATCGCGAGGCCAAGGGTATCCCCATCGGTCGTGCTCCCGCGGTCAACCTAAGGAACAACCACGGCCAATACATTATGACATGGTAAGTCCACACATACTCTGTTTGACCTGATTCCTCAGATCAGGGATGAGTGTTCATGCTCAACAGGTACGGCCTTTCCTTTGCAACCTCCGTCATGCTGTTCATGATTATCCGGAAGAAGCCCAACGAAGCCACTCGTCGTGTCCGCCAGAACCGGAACTGGTAACCGGCTCGAATGATGTATTGTAAAGCATTCCGTTCTGGCGTTGGTCGGTTTGTCTTATTATAGGTAAAAATGGAGGAGGCATGTAAATTATATCCGACGGTTCACGTTCATGGCGGCATTGCCAGTCTCATGTCTTGCAGAAGCTCCTTGGGCAAATGTTTTTGCGCAAGAGAAAAGACGGTGGTGGAATTGTTAATATGGCGTTGTCTACATAAAGTCAGCATTCTCTTTAAGAATTGGACACTTGAGGTCTCTTACCTCCTCATCAATGTTGTAACATCGCTTTCATCGATAGTCTTGCGTCCAGCGTGCTTGGAGTACGCTGCCAGATCCTCGCCCACCTGTTCAAAATACCAAGAGGACGCTTGTTCGATTGCCGTCATGGTTTGTTTGTTGATCTTTGCTTTCGATCCAGCTCGTCCACGTGCAAACTGGGTGGCCAGTTTCTTCACCACTCCCGATGGCATCTTCGGAACCGGGATACCGTGTCGTGAGTACTGCTTCTGCTTCGGATCTGGTGCAATATGGTCCTCATCACGCAATCCTCCACCTGCAATACCGGGGCTCTCCGGCGAAGCCTGATGTGGTAAATTGAGTTCCAATCCGAATTCACCGCCGGCGTCGTCGTCATCGTCATCAAAACCACCACCAATATCCATTTCGTCTTCAGGCATGGGGCCTGTGTCAGGTTGTAGGTCCATTGCGGGCAATTCGAAACCTTCGTCGTCGTCCAATGGCTCGTCTTGATCTTCTTCACCTGGCGGCGGAGGCGATGGGAAGTTGAAATCAAAGTTAAACCGGCCTAGGTCTTCCGTTTCTCCTCTGTGGACAAGGTGAGCTCCAATTGTTTTTCAAGACGGGGGTTGACTGAAAATATACTTACCCTCGGTCAAATGCACCTTGACTGATAACCGTCTCATCTGGCCCACCCACGTCATGTAAGCCCGTGTCATCACCGCCCTCCGATCCGCTTTCCAACCTAGTAGAATCGCCAAAATTCTCACTTAGACGAGGACCGCCGAAACTCATCATTGATAGTCTTGCCCGATCTCGGTCACTGGTAGCTCTGCGCGGGTATTCCACGGTGATGTCTTCTTCCTCGAACGCCAATGAAAGCCTAGGGGCTGGTATTTCGGGACTTCCCTCGTCTTCTTCGTCGACATCGTCCAGCGGTAATGACAATCTGGGTCGTTCGATCTCGGGCTCATTATCCAATTCCTCGATCTCGTCTTTCGGTGGTTCTGGCTCTGGCTCGGGCGGGGGCTTTTCTTGCGGGGATGAACGAATTGGTTGCGATGTAGGTGCGAGAGCTGATAACGAAAGAAAGTCGTCAGAAAGCGCTCGTAAATATCATAAATTGAATCCAACATACTCTTCCCCAGATTTTTCAGAATATCAAACGTAGTCTCTCTTTGCATCCGGCCGCTCTTCCTCCGATCCCGTCCCGGCGTGTTCGCCGCGCGTCGCTGCATCGCACGAACTCCATATGGCGTCGATGGCGCCCCTGATGCGCCTCTGCGTGGAGTGAATCGTGAAGCTGACCGGGGCGTGGCCACCCCGAGACGGCTCGGGGTGAGGGGGTATCTCGGGATGCGCGAACGCTATAGACGGATTAGTCTTGGTCCTTGATTGGCTTTATCAGCGTATATAAGGAGATCGTTACCCCAGTGAGTGTTGAGTCGCCGACAGGAGTGCTTGTCCCAGGGGTTCCAAACGGTGACCGGCGGTCACGCGGTCTGGGTGTTGACATTGCGTACGAGTTGTGGATAGGGAGGGACTCAGATTAATCAAATGAAGATGCGCGCAGCATGCTAGACAGTTATCGAAACATCAGACCACAAAGTCAAGCAGCAATTGATCAAACAACAACCGACAAAACGAAGAGGGGTTGCAAAACGATGATGGAAGCGCGTCGGAGACGATGCACGACAAAAGCAGCAATCAGTCTCTGATTGGCGGAAGCTTATCGATAAGATCCGCTGACTCAGCATAAAAAAGTCTCCAAAGACTCGATCGACTCTCCAGATCCATCTCAATCGCATATACCCCATACCAAATCCAAAAATGTCGAAGGAAGAATCCAACGCCGCAGCTGGCCTCTCGGCCAAGGTCGAGAAGAAGCGCAAGCGACCAGCCGATGAGGAACCATCTACCACGAAAAACGCAGCGACACCTGCGACTAACGCTACATCGGAATCCGGGCCCAGCCTCAAGAAGCAAAAGAACAAGCAGAAGTTCAAGGAGAAGAAGAAGTTGAAGGCGCAGCAGGCGCAACAGGATGATGTGACGGGCGAGGAGCGCAAAAAGGGCATTGACGGATCGATTGGGAAGATGGACGGGCCGTTGTTCGCGGATTATCTTGCACAGAAAACGAAGAGGCATAATAAAGAGATTTCGGCTGTGGAATTGAGTGATCTTTCTGTTCCTGGTGTGTACATGTGCTTGTTTTCAAAGTGTACATCGTACTGACAGTTCCAGATTCCGCATTTCTCGATACATCGTCCTACGACGGATCGAGAGCGCTCGATAAACTCCCCGAGTTCCTCAAAGCATTCAGTCCGAATAAGGGCGCTGGTCTGTTAAAGGCTTCGGAAGAAAAGGGCACTCCACATACATTGGTGATTTCCGGTGCTGCGCTTCGGGCGGCCGATGTGGTTAGGTATGGACGAGACTACTCACTGCGTTTCTCATCTCATCGCTAACTTGCCCGATAGAGCACTCCGTCCATTGCAAAACAAGGAATCCACTGTGGGAAAGCTCTTCGCCAAGCACATCAAGCTGGAGGAGGCCAAGCAATTCCTGCAACGAGCACGGTACGTCTTCATTTACCATCTACTTCCTCAAACTTAGCTAACAACCACAGCATGGGCATCGGCGCCGGTACACCGGCACGAATTACCGATTTGATCGAGTCAGGAACACTCAAACTGGACGAACTCGAACGCATCGTCATCGACGGTTCTTTCATCGACCAGAAGAAGCGCGGCATATTCGATATGAAGGAGACGCATATTCCGCTCCTGCAATTGCTGACTCGGCCTGAGTTCCGGGATCGGTATGGAGCGAAGCAAAAGAAAATTCAGATTTTGGTTTTTTGATTGCGTCACTCGGAGTTACAGGCATGGTTTATAGATAATTAGTACATAGCATTCATATGAGTACTATCTGCATGAGTTCTTCACTTGTACTCCGTACTTTGACACTGCTACCCCAACGGAGATAATCACTACCCTAACGCCGATGCGGAAGAAGCTCCTCACCGCCCTCCCTCCGCCCGGCAGAAAGTGACATTTTCTAAAATTTTCCATCGCAATTTCATCTCCGATCTCAATCCATACATTTCTCCAATTAACATATATTCTTTCAATTTCTATATATTTACCTAGAATCAGACACAATGGGCGACAAGAAGCGCAAGCTCACGCAGAACCCTGTCGAGGAAGAAGGACCCGCCGTTCAGCCCGAGGGAAAGAAGCCCAAGCACGAGAAGGCGTCGAAGGATAAGAAGGAAAAGAAGGAAAAGAAGGAGAAGAAGTCCAAGTTGCGCGATGCTGAGGAGAGTGTGAACGGAAAGGACACCGAGGAGAAGGCCGAGGAGGTGAAGGAAGAGAAGAAGGAGAAGAAGGAGAAGAAGGAGAAGAAGGAGAAGAAGGAGAAGAAGGAGAAGAAGGAGAAGAAGGACAAGAAGGAAAAGAATGACAAGAAAGAAAAGAAGGAAAAGAAGGAAAAGAAGGAAAAGAAGGCAAAGAAGGAAACGTCTGAAGAGGAGGAGGCCGAGGACAAGGCCGCTCCCGCTGCTGAGGAAGAGACCGCAGACGCAATGGATGTGGATGCAGAATCCACCGAAAATAAGGACGAAGAGAAGAAGGAGGAGACCCTGGAGGAAAAGAGAGAGAGAAGGAAGAAGAACAAGAAGGACAAGAAAGAGAAAAAGGCACAGGAGGCCGCCGAAAACGCCAAGCAACAAGAGCAACAATCTGAAGGGCAGCAAGAGCAGCAAGACGAAGAACAACAGAAATCCTCCCGCTTCATTGCTTTCGTCGGTACGTCCACTCTCCCTTGAACCTCCCTACATATCATCCAATAACCAATCCAATTGCACCACAGGAAACCTCCCCTACTCCGCAAACAACGAGACCATCAAAGAGCACTTCGTCAAAACCCCCCCCGCCTCGATCCGCGTCGCTACCGAAAAGGACAAGCCCACCAGATGCCGCGGTTTCGCATTCATCGAGTTCGAGAACTTTGATCGCATGAAGACTTGCTTGAAGCTGTACCACCACTCTATGTTCAATGACGGGAAGTATCCGCCGAGGAGGATTAATGTGGAGTTGACGTGAGTTCCAATCCACTCTACTATATTGGAATGCGTGGTGCTAATTGATGCTGCAGTGCTGGTGGAGGCGGAAAATCCGACTACCGCCAGTCCAAGATCGAGACTAAGAACAAGAAACTGAACGACGAGCGCCAACGCACCTCGAAGCAGATGTCTAAGGAGAAGGACAGGAAAACTCGCCACAAGAACGGCGAGGAAGAGGGTGATGCTCAGGCTGCTGGAGACCCGGACGATAATTTCGCCGGTGTGCATCCTAGCCGGAGGATTCGCTTGCCGTGAGCGTTGCATTTTTGATATTTTGTTTGTTTGGGTTGGTTTACTACTAAAAGCAGTTGTTTTTCATTATCATTGTTTGCCTCGAGATATCCTTTCTGCTCTCCCTGTCTGGATTGTTGGTAGATGCATCAAGCTAGCTATAGATACTGGAAATAGATGAGATCAAATGCACAAAGTATTTCCTTGATTTGGGTCGACCTGTTCAGAAACCCTTATGGCATTCATTGCATGCCGGGCTTATGTGCCATGTTACATGTTTGTACTGCAATTAGAGAGAAAAAAAGAAAAGATGACCACCTTCAATAGAAGAAACGACAAAACAGACCAGGCCGCAGTGATATCATGTAACAATGACCCAAAGACGATAACCAAATTATGGATAGAGGGGGAACCTGGAAAATAAAACACAAATGGACCCCCAGATGACCCACAGACGCCGAATTAGGTGTTTAGATAAGAGGTTTCGAAAGAGAGGAAATATTAGACGCGAAAACGGGAAAAGTCTTTACAGAATCATGCACTTCTTGGTCTTCGGTTTCGTAGCAGGTCGGGGATTGAGGACGGCCCTGACAATGAATTAGCGCTGGATCTGGACACCGCACACTGCGCATTTCTGAATTGTCCCGCATACCGGATAGCTTCATCAAACACGCTCTTCAGGTTGCGCTGTGTAAGGGCCGAACATTCGAGGTACTTGTGCGCGCGGATCTCCTTGGCAACGACGAGCGCCTGTTCGTAGGATACGGGCTCCATCTTTCGTGCGCGGAGGGAGTCTGCGGTCGCTTTATCGTCTCTCAAGTCAAGCTTGGTACCGACAAGGATAATAGGGACGTTGGGGGCATGGTGTTCGATTTCCGGAAACCACTGCACCATGTCAGCTTCATTGTTTACTTCGCTCGACCGGTAGGATCCACGTATGGTCGTTGCGGAGACTGTTGGAAGAAAGTACCTTGGCTTTGACGTTATCGAAAGAAGGAGGGCTGACGATGGAGAAACAGATAAGGAAGACATCTGTCTGAGGGTAGGACAGCGGTCTGAGACGGTCGTAATCCTCCTGGCCGGCGGTATCCCACAAACCCAAGCTAATCGGTCTACCATCCACCATCACACTCGCGGTGTAGTTATCGAAACTGGGAAGTCGGTCAACATGGCGTCGGACAAACGGAGGCAGCGCGAAAAGGGTTCAGGGGCAGGGTACGAACACGGTTGGGATGTATTCCCCGGGGAAGGCGTTGGTTGTGTAGGAGATCAGGAGGCATGTCTAGCGGTGTCGCGAAGTCAGTCCATGGTCACTTCAAGGGAATCGAAGCATTGCGCAAAAAGAAGAGGTTACTCACCTTGCCAACAGCACCATCACCGGTAACTACACACTGTACGAGATATTCTATTAGCCATGGTCGGGTCAACCGCATGATGACCCATGGACGGAGAGTGAGGAACTGACCTTCAATGATTGGGTGGCTGGACTGGCCATGGTGTATGCAAAGGGCGTGTGGTATGTGGGAAGAAGACTATCCACAAAGAAAGAAAATATGAGAGAACTGCCAGTTGATCGAGTTGTGAGAATAAGAAGAGAAGATGTGAGAGAAGAAGAGGAGGGGATAAAGGAGAGAGAGAGATGGGGGCAGGTGGGTTAGAGCACAGCAGATTCACAACTCCAAATGCAAAGAAAGAACCTGAGAGTGAATGCAGAACTGCAGCTAAAAAAGCAAAGTGAAAAGTGAATTAAAAAAGAAATCAAGAAGAAAAACGCGCAAAGAATAAAAAGAAGGAGAAAGTCAGAAAAGGGGAAGAATTAAAGAGGCCAAGGGAAGAGGGGAAAAAGTTGGGGGGCAACTTCGGGAACAAGAGAAAGAGAGGATTCGACAGCTCACCTTTTGGTTCAGGCACTACAATTGTTAAGTCGAAGACACTTAATGCTAGAAGAAGCAGGGAATTAATAGAAAAATAGACAAAACTACCAGCAATTCTGCAGGACGGCTCCCGCCACGGAGATCTTTACGGAGTATACAGACAGTACGAGTACAGAGTACTACGACAGGACAGCCACCAGATCTGGACAATCCAATATACTCTGTACTAGCTACGATATCCGAACAATTATCCCCGAGCTCAAGGCATTCCAGTCTCTGCCATGCGACACTCTGCAGAACAATAGTTAGAGCATTCCTCCTCTCAGGCTGAACCAGTGATCATCGGTGGAGCATTTATCACAATTCGCCATTGGAGCTGGAACATGAGTCGCTGACAGAATTCCAAGCTAATCACAATTCAAGATAATACTACTGTACTGTCCAGCCACAACACGCGGTGTGTTTCTTTTTATAATCAAAGCCGACAGGGCTGCAATATTATTGTCTGCATGCAATCCCTCCTATCTCGTCCATATGCATCATGCATAGCTAGCTACAGAGTAGTATTCCTGGAACAGCAACCCGTAGCTTGCTATCCCTGTCAATCCCATCCAATATGCAATCGATCTGGGCCCCGTATTGTTTCATCTACTTATATCAGTCATCAATATTTCCCCAATCAATAAATACCCTTGATGCGGAACTTCGTATGTACATCCATACTTGTACTCCGAACATCCCATGTACAAGCACTCCGTATCCAGCCTATAACGGTACTCTATTACAGCCTAGCAACGCCCGCAGACGCAGGCAAGAACCCTCCCTTCTTAAGCTCAAATGGCTTAGCCATCAATCCAGACGCCTTCTTAACGAATTCCTGGAAATGGGGTCCTTTCACATGTGCGTCCAGCGCCGCTGCGTTGCGGTATCTATACAAGTATGCCGTTAGTACACCAACCATACAAGAACTAATATCCAACCCAGGGATAGAAAGAATGAATACCTCTCCACAACGATAATCTCATCCTTATTCTGCTCGTTGGTAAAAGCGTAGTAAAGGAGAGTGTCTGGTTCATGGGCCTGGACCTTTTGGGTGACTTCGGCCATGAGAGCCGAGAGCTGTATCTTGTCAGTTATTGTGTTACAGATGAAAAATGGACCGCAAAATGATTCACTGACTTCCGCTGCCTTCTCAGGCTTAGAATAAATGACAGCGACAAGGTTGATTGCTTCGGATGCCATGGTTGTGGTTGATGTTGGTAAGTTGTTGGTTTTGGAGAAGTCGACCGAGGGACGTAGATGCTTATTTCTAATCCATGGAAGCCGACAATGCCGAAAGCACACAATATCAACAAGGCTAATTATATTATCACAATATCCACTTTACAAACCGATTTTGATAAATTGGTATCTCATAAGAAGAAAAAGAAAAAAACTGTACGATACATGTGCATGTATGTATATCATCATCCATCATCATAACCTCGGCAACACAAATAAGCAGAACAAAATTAATCGCTTTTAAAATAACATGTCAATCAAATAGCCCCCCCCCCCCTCTTTTGTAAACCTATACAAGCCTATATCCCAATCCTGCAGATGCTCCGGTCGAACACCCCATTACATAACCGGAGGGGCAACAAGAGAATCAGGGATCCCATCAAAGACCCAGTTGAGAGAATCGAAAACCTCCGAAAAGCCCGCCTCGCTCATAAAACCCCCGTCGAAATTGCCGGGGTATATCAAGCTCGGGTCATCAAGCGAATTATCCTGCTGTCGAGAAAGGGGGCCTGCCGCCGTCGACATGTTAGGGTTGGCCATCGCTATTCCGCCGTTAGCAACGCTCCTAGAAGAGTCAAAGAAAGCAATAGACCTACCTTGATCTTCAATGCTCCTCATAGGGCGGAACCGCTGTCTCCAGCGCCAAACCGTGTCATAAACGTGGCTCATGCTCATCCGACACCGGACCTTAAGTTGTAGACCATCCTCACCCGCTTCCGCCTCGGAATTACCCGCATTCCACATCTGGGCCAAGATGTCTGCAAGACGCACGGGCCGATCGTGCTCCATTACACTGATCCGGCGAATTGCCGATATCGCTCCGTTGAATAGTAGCTTTCCATGGTTGAAATCGATGTGTCGACTGAAGTCGCTCTTCAGCAGTTTCATGAGCGCAAAGGCAGCGGAGACAATCATTTGAAGGATGTAGTTCGTGGCGTGGCCGATTAGCTCTCCAGGCGAGGTTTCGAGGTCGAGGACTCGTCCAAGGAAAGACGTCGTAGCAATGAAAAGTTTCGTCAAATCATCGCTTCGTGCGTTGGATCCTAGAAATACAAAGTATCGCAGATGCAATTCTGCAGCTCGTAAATGAATCATGTTGATATCTAAACAAGTTAGCATCGGTCGACACGAGACTAGAAAGGGACCGCATACGTGAAATGTTTCGACCAAAGTCCACTTCCATGTCTTTGAGCTCACTCTCCAAGAGTTGGACGATTAACAACTTCTCGGAGCTGATGAACTCTGCAGGTTCAGGCTTGCTGCTGTAGAGAGCCTTAGTCACCCGGTCACAGAACTTTTCAATCCGTAATCGAGTTCGAAGGTCTTCTGGAGGGTGATAATCAGCATCTTTAAGAGATGTTGGCTCCAATGCCCAATCGTAGATAGTGCCAGGTGGCTGTCCATAGCCAGTGGCAACGCTATCAACTTATTAGCAAAAGCCCGACGACAATAATAAGTCAAAACCTACTTCTGAGCAACAATGTTACAGATGACCCACGTCTGCAATCTATCCTTCATTGCTTCACCCTGGACTTCCATGCGGAAGGTGGTGAATTCCTCCGCTTGAACGGGACGATGCAATCCCAGTTGCATGGCGATCTGCATCATCAACCCACTGAGCATAAATGTAGCGTCGGTCCTCTGGCTAGTCGTAGGAAGAGGCCAAGTGCAAAGAATACACAATGCCTTAACCACATGGTAATCCTGAGGCACACCCGTGATAGTTGACCAAAGGAGCCGACTGAAGGGCCCAGAGAGGGAACTCAAAAGGCCTGGCTCAGATGGTGCCCGTCGGCTCGCCACGCAGATAATGGCCCATGCCAACAATGACGAGCGATGAAGATGTTCCTCTGGTCCTTTATGACGATCCAGTAGAGGAAGGAATGGATGATAATACTTAAAGAATCTATCGAGTGTTAGTGGCATCATCTCAGCCGGATCAGACCAGTCCTTACTGTTCAAATAACCGAGCTACTCTGCTCCTCGATAGCGAGACATCTTCCAATTTCCAGAGACTATCTTCCTGCGAAATGATAGATTCATCCCGGTGCATAGTCAATGGAGTCGCCAGAGGCTGAGGTTCCAGAGGCGCAGATATAGGTCGTGTTCGGTTAGAAACCGCCGAATCAGGACCACAGAGCACATCCTCAGAGCACTGGGACATGTCATCGCTTACATTTGCTTCCACAGCCTGGGGATGGTCACTGTTGGTAGCCAGTCGTCGACGGAGATCAGCGATCTCCCTTTCCATCTCAGCATTTCGCCTGGAATAGCATGTTAGATTGCTTGTCAAGTGTGTATAGCATGCTGTACCAACTACTTACCTGCGCTTTGAGATGCGTTTAAAAGTAGGCTCAACTTTGCATTCTATCTGGAGTCGCCGGCAGCGTGAGCACGCTGCGGCCGGGGTCTGAACAATGTCACATCGTAGCTGTGGAAAGCGGAAATCACAAGTTCAGCTAAGATGGCTCAATTAAGAATCATATGCGATGGTAAAAAAAAAAAAAAAAAAAAAAAGAATTTTTTTGTTGTTGTTTTATAAGGATGGCATACCTTTTGCTGTTTACACTCATTACAAGCCTTCCGACTACCACCCCGGCGCTTCCCCGTAGTAGCACAAGTACTACCACCAGTCATTGGCGGAATCTTCTCCATTTCGCAAGGCTCCGAATTCCTGCTTGAGAAATCGTAACCCGTCACCGGCCGGGGAAAACCTGCGTTGTTCCGAATGTCGCTACTGCCGGGGCCCTGGGGACTTATCAGATGGCCGTTGGCTTGGCCATGAGCAGCAGCAGCCAACCCATTCGGTGGCAAAATTCCCCGGAACTGCAGCTCCATCAGGAGTCATTAAATCAGCGCTCGCCCGACGGTTAATGCAAACACCTGAAATCCCGAGCAGAATTGCGCTGCGCAGGTGCCGGAAATCGGCGAAATGTGCTTGTTTGGAAGGGTTTTTTGGGGTGGTTCAATGTACCTCGAAGGCGAAAGTCGGCGGTTCGGGATTAGTCATCATTGCCTGGGGCAAGCACATGCTCTAGTTAGTTAGTTACTATGCGATAATTTCGACAACAGCACTCCGGTTACATACTACGAATGTTGTCGAATGATTGATTTTGTAAGTTTCTGCTGGCCGTCTAATGCATTATATTGCTACTTGCCATGATGGTGCGTGGTGGACAGTCTATTATGTCGGGAGACTGAGTATATAACTAGTTGGTGCATTTGTACTCCATACTAAGAACGCATCTCACTTGCCTTCCTACTGATAGTCATCGAATAGGGATTTGAATTAAAGAGATATAGTAATGGTACAATAGTGACTGGGGATCATGTCATACAAGGGAAGCCAAAAACTGCAAATCGGCTGGCAACGATCTCAATTTAGTCCTCCTCTTGATCGGTCACCGCGTCTCTTGTAGCGCTACTGCACGCACCATGGAAATCACCATTTTTTTGAGCAAACTGATTTCTGATAAACTCAAGCCACTCAGGAGCACTTGCGTGGAATACGTCGACATGGCTCGCGCCCTCGTACAGCCTGATATGCGCTTCATTACCGTGGCGGCATGTATCATCATACGAATCAATGGTGATTTCAGGCAGGACGGCAGTATCGCTCAACCCTTGGATAACCATTAGAGGCCCCATGGCCTTTGCACCATTCGCTGGCGCAACCCAATCCTGCCATCTTCTCAGAAATCTGTTATGCTTCACCCACGCCGGATCAGTGATCAGTTCCTTGGGTTTCAAGCCGTGTGGTAATGACAAGATGCCAGACATGCAGGATTGGGCTTCTGTAGCGAGAGCGATTCTTTCCCGTAGTTCCTCAGCGATAAACGATGTACTCGCACGGGGAAAGGCTCGCTTCAGGGCAATTGGTAACCAGGACAACTCGTATATGATATCGTACGAAGCATAGTCTGGGCGTTGAAAAAGAATATCCATGGTAGCAACAGCTATGTCATATATCTTTGTTGCTGGTGCGATGGCCACGCTGCCCAAGTAGACACCTGCACCTCCTCTGCGGTGCAGCGGACTTTCGGAAAGCTTCCAGGATGCGCCTCCACCCTGGGAATGCCCGACAGACATCCATTCATCGGTGAAGGAACCGGGGAGTGCTTGTCGAGCTGCGACCATGCCGTAGTATAGGTCATTTGCGTGGGCAGGGAAGCTCAGATACTGGTGTTCGATATAGTCGTTCCCGAGTCCAGCGTAGTCTGGAGCAACAACAGCATATCCACTCTTGACCAGAAGACTCCAGCTGGAATAGTCAGCTAGGGTTGGCGTTGTGGATGGCGGGCATCCTCGAAATACACCGCTGGTGCCGTGGGCGAAGGCGATGACAGGGTGCTTTTCATCAGAGCGAGAAGAATTATCGGGAAGCCCAATAAAGCCAGTGGCCGGAACAAAAGTGCCGTTCAGTGCGCGGGATGTATACTGAAAACGATAGACAGTAACGCCCGAGGTAATGTTCAGATCGCTTGGATTGATCGACTCGAACTTCAAGAGATCTCCAGGATGAGACCGTGTGAAATCTGGAGCTGTCGCATAGAAATCAAAATCGAAGTCAGAACTGAAGAGCTGGCGGTCTTGCTTTTCGGCAAGGTTAAAGACCTGCTCGCATTCCTCATCGCAGCCGTACTCCCTGAATGTGGCAGAGGGGAGGTCGAAGTTCGCAGCCTCGGACGCAGCCGTGAGGGGGCCGATAATGAGACCAAGCAAAGAAAGTCCGATCAAAAGCATATTGAAGCTCATAGCAAGAAGATGAAAATAGACAACAGATCGTGGACTGAGCGAAGTGGAAACAGGTTTTTGTAGTTTTCGCTCCCATGCACATCAGTCGCAGCAGCGCCACGGACTGCGACGTGATTTCCAATTTCAGACATGTCATTGGAATTCTCAGATGATTATTTAAAAATTGAGGTTGTCACTTCACGTTGCGTCTATATCCACTACACCGCATTGGGGAATGACATGCCCAAAGTGGAGATACAATCACGTGCATAGACAGATTTGGCATGTTCCTCTCCGTTACATCAGGGCTTCTTCTTTAGAGTATTTCCCTTTTCATCTTCAAAGCCATTCTTTACTTCCTCCGAACACAGTGTGTACAATTCCTTGGTAACATGCGGTGACGTTCTCGACCAGCAGCATATTGCTACCGTGGTTCATCGGTGAGCTATCACTACAACATGCCGAGTTGAGTATTCAAAGAGCCTTGAGGCTATGCATGAGTTATACGGTGGCGTTAAATTGGCTTGCGAGGCGTAGGGTCCGGGATATACACCGACAGTTGAGGCAGAAGTGTTTCCTTGTTGTTGAAAATAGCACTATTAAAGGAAATGGCCAGCATAATTACTCCGTACTGTGTAGGCAGTCTCGGAACCTCGGGATCTTATGTTGTCATTCATATCATGATCAGCCGGCAGTGCCACAATCATCGACCTTGTTAGGAGGTTTCTTTGGTAATGGTCGTTATTAGGGAGTGCTGGGCAGTTATCTAAATAAGCGGCAATATTCTGCTGTCTAATTCTAATAATAATATTTATCTTTTCTCTCATTTCAACATCTGTGCTTTCCTAATACATATATACATATATCTACGAAGTATTCAATTCCATAGATCATCGAGTATAATTTGGTTCCTGGCCCCGGCAGAACATCCCCCCACCGCCGTCCCTTTCTATACGGAGTGCGGATCAACTACCCCCCATAACCTTATCACTTGCCTTCTATCCCAGGCACCTGCATTGCATTCATCGCACTGTCTATTTACCCCAAACATTCACTTCATCTTAAACTGTGGTTTCTCCCAACGATACTTGAATACCCTCTCTTCTCATGGCAGACGTCACTCTCCCCGATGGCGCTGCGTCGCCCAGGGAGGATCATCCCCCGTCGAGCGCTGGGTCGCAGCCGGCCGCGCCCCTCGAAGCAGCTCCTCCCGCACCACCAGTCATGTCCGATGAGCTGAAGGCCCGCTTGGACAAAGTCATTTATTCCGATGTGAGTCTCTATATGGCCTTTAGGAATCGCTTGGAGTTTCGTCGCATCGCACTGACCAGTTCCGCTCGCATAGATCGGTATTACAACACTCCTGACTCGATTGAAGCAAAGCGTCGCATCCGCCAGAGTTCGTTAAAGCTTTCCAGTCCAGAGACCATCTCGTATATGCTGACACCGACGGAAAGGATTATTCGACGTTTCTGAAGAAGAGAGCGGCGCTGGAGGAAGAACATGCTCAGGGTCTGAGGAAGTTGTCACGTTCTCTTTACGACGCTGCGCAGCGCTCTGAAAACCGTCAAGGAACATATGGCAACAGCGTTAATGAACTTCACCGTTTTCACGACCGAATGGCCGACCATGGCCTGCAGTTCTCCGTCTCCCTTCAACAGATGGCCGACGATCTCCACGAGCTCGCGTCGAATATCGAAAAGGGCCGTAAGCAGTGGAAACAGACCGGACTCACTGCGGAGAAGAGGGTTGTGGAAGCAGAAACGGCTGCAGAGAAGGCCAAGGCCAAATACGATTCACTGGCAGAGCAATATGACCGAGTGAAGACGGGCGACAAGCATGGTGGCAAGTTTGGTCTCAAGGGACCCAAGTCGGCCGCTCAGCATGAAGAGGATCTGCTTCGAAAGGTTCAAAATGCGGACGGTGATTACAGTTCGAAGGTCCTGGCTGCGCAGGCAGTCCGGCAAGAATTGGTTTCTACCCATCGACCTCAAGCCGTACTCAACATCCAGCAGTTGACCCGAGAATGTGATGCTGGCCTTACACTGCAGCTACAGAAGTTTGGTACGTGCACACTGCGTATCTGGTCACGGTATCTTTTCCTTTCACCGCTGACTATCTCCAGCAACATTCAACGAGAAACTGCTGCTTGGGCAAGGATTGTCCATCAGCCCTGTGAAGGACAGCCCAGCGGTTGGACCCAGGAGCCTCTACGAGGTCATCTATACAATCGACAACCAAAAGGACTACCATGACTATGTTTTGAGTCATGAAGGTAACCCTGCCGCTGTGACGAAAGAACAGCTTAAATACGAGTGCCATCCAGTAAGTTATCTCCGCTGGGCCCCATCACCTTTCAGTATTAACATGTTTGTTAGACTCTGGCCTCGTCATCTGGAGCTGTCGTCCCGGCTGCTCAAACCAGCACACAAAATAAACGCCAGTCCTTCTTACCTCAGTCTTTCTCTCAACAACGTCTCGCTTCCCCTCAAAGCTCTCCTCAGCCATCACCGGCACCGGCACCTGCATCTGCATCTGCACCTGCACCTGCGCCGGCTCCTGTTGACCAAAAGCCAGTGTTGCCCTATCCTCAAGAGCCAGAACCATACTCCAACCCGTCCTTCCAGCCCCCTTACCCTGCCTCTGCACCACTGCCTGTTCAAGAGCAGCACCCAGTGGCCCCGCCTCCCGTCGGGGCACCACCACCAAGCAATGGTTTGCCGCCGGTCATGCCAGTCTTTGGCATTTCTTTAGACGATCTATATGCCCGAGATGGAACAGCCGTGCCAATGATTGTCTATCAATGCTTCCAGGCTATAGAGCTCTTTGGCCTTGATATGGAGGGAATTTACCGGCTATCGGGCAGTGCAACCCATATCACCCACATGAAATCCCTTTTCGATAACGGTTAGTTTTCAGGCTATCTATTATGTCCGGATTACGCCTAACTAAAGCGTGCAGATTCGACGCAGGTGGACTTCACCAATCCCGAGTATTTCTATCACGATGTCAACAGCGTTGCAGGGTTGCTGAAGCAATTCTTCCGAGACTTGCCTGAGCCGCTTTTCACTACGCAGTTCTACCCCGACTTCATCAATGCAGCTCGTAAGCACTAGCCAGTTCTAGCCGGAGTCGACAATTGCTGACTGCATTAACAGGCATTGATGATGATATTCAACGCCGTGATTCGTTGCATGCCCTCATTAACAACCTTCCTGATGCCCACTATGCCACGTTGAGAGCCTTGGTTCTGGTAAGATAGCCTATCAACTAATTTTTGGCTGTACTTTGTGAACTAACTCGGGACTCCAGCATCTTAACAAGATCCAAGAGCATTATACCCAAAACCGCATGAATGCCGGAAATATCGCTATCTGTTTCGGGTAAGCCGAAATTCGTGACCCCAGTACGTTAGTTGATACTGACTTTGTTGATAGGCCGACTCTCATGGGCGCCAATTCTACCGGCGCCATCGCGGACGCCGGCTGGCAAGTCCGCGTTATCGAGACAGTCTTGGTCAATACTTTCCAGCTCTTTGACGACGATTGATGTGCCCCTTTTTCTTTCCTTTCCTTTCATGCCATTCGACTGATTTCGTTTGAAAATATTCTACACCTGAAGAGCTTCGGATTTCATCGTCTGTCTTCTTGTGTATAATATGCTGGATGCTTGACTTTCTTGATTCCTTGCCGCATTGACTTTCCGTTTATTGAGGTTTATATTGTAAATAGTGATCGCTAGCACGCTCTTCACCGGCTAATGTTTATAAAGGCCACGAAATCACGCTTTTCTTTTTCCAGTACGCCATTTCTATTGTATGAGTAGATAGGAAAGTGGATAGATAAGTACATAATTACAAAAAAACAAGAAAAAAAAAAAAAAAAAAAAAAAAAAAAAAAAACCCAAAAAAAAAAAAAAAAAAAAAAAAACCGTCTATCAGAAACAGACCAGACAAGACAATAGGTATCGAAACGTAGGCAGGCAAAAAAAAAAAAATTAAGCATCAGATATAGTACACATGAGACTTCGACACATTCACATAAATACAATGTAAGAGGCGAGTTTCGATTTTTGCGGGAATGCGTAAAGATAACACAAGGGGGTAGAAAGGAATATCTCGCTGGGTAGAACCACCACTGTTTTAGCATACCTCGTTACTCGACCCGTGGCCCATTGCTTGCCCTGGTTGTTGGAGCATCACTTATCTCAAGAAGTAAGCCTCGAGATGAGTTCTTGTTGGGATTTGACACCCTCAACGGAGAGAAACGGCTTATTTCTTCCCCTCCATCATCGCCTTCATAGCCTCCATACGGTCCGAGAGCGAAAGCCCTGGCGCAAAGAACGGAGTCTCCAAATCCTCAACAGTAGTCGGCGTAGCATGTCCCCAAATCCTCCACTCCTGCTCCTCCCCAAACCACATCAACTTTTGCAGCACAATGTACTCAGTGCAATCCCGCTGCTTAGCCGGTGCCGCCTCCAAGGCAGCTTCCTCAACCACGCCCCGCTTATTCATCGGCAGCTTGACCTTGCCCGTGGACTGGCGGCTCGTGATGCGTAGGACGACCTGGCGCACGCCGGATTTGGGGATTTCGGGGATTTGGGTTGCGCGGTCTGCGAGGACGCGGACGCCGGTGAGGAAGGTTGCGGGGGAGCGGTTGTATTTGTCGAGAGACCAGGTTACTTTTTCGTCTTTGGGGCGGTTGGTGATTCGGGTGGTGAGACTGTTAGCGAGACCGGTGCAGCAGATCTTTCGGAGGGTTGCGACGTCGCCTCTGTGGTGAAGTTGGTGGTTAGTCGTGGCCCGAGAGCAAGTGGTGATAGTACTTACTCGGCGTAGGCAGTGTACATCTGTGCGTAGAGTTCGCATCCAACCTGTCGCCGCTCTCTCAGACGGAGGGGCAGACCCTTGTTGAGCCATTTACTGTAGGCGAGGATTCTGGTGGGATGGTCAGTAACAAGACCCCACACCGGAACAGACGAACAATTGAGTTGAACAACTCACCCCAGGAAATTTTGAAACGCCTGCTTGATCCAAAGCCACTCCAATTGCATTCTTTCCCGCGGTAATTGGAAAACAGACGGCATGTCCCTCCACAGTGGCCGGACGAATGTACCCGGCAACAACCCCAGATCCTGCGGCATTTCCGATTTCGACATTTCCTTCCCTCGTGTCTTCATACTCGGTTGAGCGGGCTGCTTAGCGGCCATCGTTTGTGGCATCCCCCGCATCGCACGCTGGGTGATTGAGGATCGAGAAAAAGACCGGCATTGGCATGTTTGCGCTGCGATTGTGACGGGGTGAAAACCGGGCCTGGCGGCAGATAGCAGGGATCCAACAGGCAGTCGCGACGAGGACGCCATGGCGGAGGGAATTCCCAAGGGGGTATAGGGCTCTTGTCAACGTGAGGAACAAAAAGTGGTTGCTTATGATCGAGGCGGCCGTGTATGGCCGCCGCGGAAGAATTGCAGACCCATCACGTGATACCCGCGGATTTACTCCTCATCTTCGTCGTCGTCCTCGATCTCGCAGTCACAGTTGCGTGCCTTGGGGGGTTGTCTAAGCGGGCAGTTCTTTTCGATACGTTTGTGTTTATCAATTGTTTCTGTTTTACTGTTGCTCTTGTCGCACCGTCAGTAAGCATACTACTACTCATACCGACCGTGAATGGCATAAGATAGCGTGAGCACTAACAGCCTCTTATCTATATACACCTCAGGCGTCCCATAATTGCTTTTTTTATAAATTTTTTTTAGAGGGTTCTTTTGCGCGGCGGCTGCATATGCCGTAGATTAAGGCTGGCTCCTCTTCGTCGTGATGCTGCTCCTCTTCCGCCCTTCTCTCTTCACGCCCAATCGCTCGAGCCTGACCTAATACGCTCATCACGTTCACACACCATCAACAAACGAAGAACCACTCGCACCCGCACTTCCGCACAATTAACCCCGACAATTCAAACCCCAGTGGCTTCCCACGCCAAAGCGGTGGCGCCCTCCGCCGCAGCCCCGTCCTCCCCGCGCCCCTCTACGTCCCATACTCCCAACGGCAATGAAGCTCAAGCAAGCCGCACGGCCGCTTCTTCAGCCCTGCACCCGCGCGTGGCTGTCATCTTGGGAGTCGACCGCAGATGGTATGTGCCTCTGCTGGTCTGCCGCGCACTAAGCACGGCTCCTGCCGCATGGTGGGGGCTGCGGTGCGCGTTTACTTTCCTAGCGGAACTGCTTCATATTCAACCGGGGATGGGACATGAGGGGTGGGCGACGGCGATTATTGGGAGTATTGGGCAGGACTGGGATGTTGAGAGGAGGTTTCGGGTGACTGAGGTGGCTTTGGCTATCATGTGGGTATGTTGTGTTGATACTAACCGGGGATTCCTGTGGAAATGGGGGTACAATGCTGATATCATGGGCTTAGTGCTGTGCATCCGCATATCTCTCGTATTTCTTTGCTGATTGTATGATGTCTCGATGGTGAGTGTTCCGTCTCCCAGCTTGCGTCCGAGCAGTTCATATCTAACCTGTATACAGGCTTCTCAACTACACCCCACCGGCTGTGGTAATTCGTCTCCTTACAACAAACGGCCTGATTGCATACATTACTTCCTGGGTTCTCTATCTCTCCGGCGCTTCCTCCGACCCACGTCTTCTACTCCCAGCGTGGATAACAATTACAACGGTGCGGTCATCCATCAACCACAATATGACGGAAAAAGTCCAAGTCCATACCACAAGACCCCATGAACTGACAATCAATCTTATCCTTTGATACATAAAGACCCTAACATTCATCTACCACGCGACCCAAAACCACGCCACGATCAAACGTGAAACAACCGCCTCCGTCCTCGTCGTCTCCGTTGCCAGTTTCGTCAGCATGTCCTCGCTTCTCTTACAATTACATCTGACTCGCGAGAACGAACCGGAGGTGCCTGTTTTTGTGATTTCGCGCAAGTTGTGGGACTATGCGGTTGCTATCTTATTTCGGATGCGGGTTGCGGATGGTAGGGCTGTGGAGAGAGAGCTGTAGATCGGTTTCCCGCTGTTTTGCTTTTTCCTTTATTGTCTTCGTTTTTCGCTTTTTCGTGCTCTCTTATCTTCCGCTGGAATGAGTTTCATTTCAGTTTGATGTTTCGGGCTAACTTTTTGTTTGATATTTGCTTCGTTTCGTGTTGATTGAGCTTTTATGTAACATCTTTGAAAGGTGACTATATTCTGAAGCATTTACACTTCCCTACTAATGTAGCTTAACATGAAGTAATATGAATTTAAGTCGTATTACTGTTATCATACTGACAATGAACAACTAAAATGCATGGATGATAGATAGTATTGAATAGGGCTATGCAAACCCTCCGATTAAAAATTTGAATTTGAAACGTCGATTTGCAATGGCAAGTTCCAACAAGCCATCCCAAAGGCAACCAAGAAACAATGATGCAGAAAGAATAAAGAACAAAAGGAAAAAATAAAAAATAAAAAAAAATAAAAAATAAACATCGTCTATAATAATGGGTATCTATCAACGCCTCGTTCCATCATATCCCACTCCGAATAGCAGTCGACGAAGAGACCCGCTCTCCCACGTACCGCCAGTGAGAGACCACGACGGATCAATGAACAAAAGCGCGTCTTTCCCGACAAAGGCCCAAAACCTAGTCTGTTGAGTAGGGAAGTAGCCCAAGGAGGGAACGATGTTTGTCGAACTGAATGGTGCAATCGCCAACGGGGCGATGCAAGATTCAGGCGGTGGAAGGACAAAGATCGAGCCTCCTATCCCATTCTCAACGCGACATAGATTCGGGAGAAGGGACCGGAACGGGGCGCAATGACTGATCTAGAACCCATGGACCTTGATGGTCTTGGCGTCAAGCTCAAGACCTTCCTTCTTATCGGTCAAGAACTCCTGAACATCTTTCCGCTGGTCTCCCTGCAACTGAATCACCTCGCCCATCTCAGTGTCGGCGACGATGGTGCCATTGCAAGCTGGATGCATATTAGCCTCACGTTCGTGGCACAGTAGAGGCGGTGTTAATTGGCAACTTACCGAACTTCTTCTTAATCACCTTCAAGATCTTCTTCTGATCGAATTTCTTGGGAAGACCCTGGACCGTAGTCAAGGTCTTACGACCATTGCGCTCTGTAAAGGAATAACTCGTTAGTTATGTGCTCCGACAAGGCAAGAGGTGATGCGGTCGCGTGAGAGCGATGACAATGTGGGAGGGGGTATAGAACGTACGTTGAATCCGTATATGGATATAATTTTGAGACTGCTTGGTCTCGCCGGTATCTTCGTCAGCTTCGGCGAAGGGGTCTGTAGAGAAACGTGTCAGCCTGGTGATCAATCTACCCCGCCAGCGAGAAAATGCCGCGCAGATCCAGGTGGGAACAAAGCCGACAAGAACAACCCCCCACGTGTCCTGATAGCCACACACGGGCGACCATCCACACATTGAAAGTACCCACGATGGAGTGACATTCAAGTTGTTCTCGATCGGCCAAGACCAGGTACCCTGTGGAGGTAGACAACACCCCGGAACAGGAAAAAGGAGGGGAGTGGCGAATCGACTTACCGAAGGTCTTGAGGTTTTCGATGGACATAAACTCGGCCTTTCGCGGTAAACGGCCCTTAAAAGCGGTATAGGTAGAGTAGATCGGGAGGGGAGACTAAGATCTCTTTGTAGCAGGAAAGGCGAGAGCGATCGGAGGCTCGAAAGATGGAGTCGAGATGGGTTGTAGTGGGATTGAGACGAAGTGTTGAGGAGAGAGAAGGAGGAACAGAAGAGCCTTTTGAGGGGCGCTCTGGCATTTAGCGCCCCCTACTAGGCAGGCGGTGAGTCGGGATGACTCAGCCATCTTGCCATCTTCGATCCAGATCTGACAGTCCGAAAACAGAAAAGGAACGAATGCGAATGCCCCGTGGCACCTGAACGCCCGTGGATCGCGCTCTGTGCGGTTCTGTGCGATGCGATTATTGGTCCTACGTGCTTGTTGTCCGGGGTTGAGTCCATCTGACTCATCCACTGATTCAACGGTGTCACTGGTTGAGGGATGTGGCCACGATCCGCCACTGAAGATTCCATTACAACGCCCATGGATATAGTAATTATACAGCACCACAGTATCAACTGTGGCGAAAAGGGAATTAAGTAGACAGAGAAACAGAGGACAGCGAGACAGCAACGCGCCTAGCTTGGAGAACCTCTTGAACCCCGTACATGCTTCCGGCCCAATTTCGTGTTGCAATTGTTACTGCCGTTTCCGCGCGAGAAGCATCGATCCTTGTATTATTATGACTCATGGCAGGGGTATTCGACGGCAGATGACCTTAAGAAGCCGATGGCGCAGGAATGGCGCCCGCGTTTTGGTTCTGCGGAGGGAGGAACATAGGGAAATATGTCTGCGGGCAGCCGTTTAGAAGACGCTGGAATTAGATGTCAACGGGAGGAATCAGGGACGTACCACGACCAATGCCATGACTAGAAGTAGAAAACAGTGTCAGTCTATGAATACCCGGAAGAAGACTGGGCTGGGTAACGTACAGGACATGAAGACGGACATATATGCCGGAGTGGACGAAGTGCTCTTTTGGTCTTCAGTCTCACCGAGCCAATTCTGGAGCGAGAAAACAAAAGAAACCCTGCGTTTAGTTAGGACGTTGAGTCGCAGTGGGGTTGTTATCAGCACGACAGCTTACCATCCAATCATCCTGTACGCAACCGCATCATTATAAGCAATCCTGTCCTACCCAAGAATAGCAATAGTAGTGTGGTCATTGCTCACCTGTTCCTGGTGAACATCTAACGGAATCCGACATCAGTATGAATCCTCTAGAGCTCCGGATAGCAGTCAACTCACCGCAGCCATGGGCATGGTGCTCGACATTGCGCCTGTAACAAGCCATTAACACTGTCTTCCACGAGATTTTACCATAACATCCGTTGACATAGGAGTTCCGTACCGGACACATCGGCATCGCTCTTGCTCGTCGGAGGCTCGATATAGGGGATCGCTGGACGAGATTCAATGTCAGCAACTGTTATTGTGAGATGTGAAGCCAAATAAAAACACTGCTTACCAAGATCCAGCCTCCGCATGTCTTTCTTAGCCGCCATTTTTGTATTATTGGAGATGATTGAGTCTAAATGCACGGCTCAGTTGTTGCGACGGAGCGATAAGGAAACAGATGGCAGTTGGCGATGCCAAGACCGAAGCAGTAAGTCTGGCGGTCGGCAAACATTCCGCATTGATGTGCAGCATACATACAAGCATTCGACCATTTGTACTCCGTATATCGGAACAGAGATAGTCATTGCTGCAAGAATTGATAGAAAACGGCATACATATGATATATCAGATTGATATGCTATCGGGTTTGTTGGCATTACTCAGTTTGGTCTATCACGTAGTACAGTTATACGGCTTTATTCTACTCCGTACAAGTATGTTCCAGACTCGAGATCATCTTCTGGGCACATATCAGGCACTACCATGTATGGTATCTATACATCAGTCAGGTGTATGGCCAATGCATGGACAGTGTCAGCCCACGGCATCATGCCACCGGAGGCATAACAGAGCATACCCGGCGGCGGGAATCATGCAAGAGTTACCGGGGGAATCCCACTGGCTCCCAACTCTCTTATGGCCTGATAAAGAAGTGTGATAACACCATAAACCCTGAACATAGCGTGGATATAAATAAATACATAGTACATAGTACTGAGAACAGATCCCCCCGTAGGAATGCCAACCCTTAGCGCTTATTGAGGCGATCTCCGGTACCAAAATCGGGAAAAGCGAAACCAACCCAAGTGCTACAGAGACCTCCCCTACATTTCATTATTATTGCTTACCCGTCGAGTTCGTTGCATATTTCCCTGTTGTGCATCCCGCACTATTTCCGCTGTTTCCCCGACCTGTTTTTTTGTGACTGTCGCTATTTACCGGCCGAGTTCACGATAAGCCTGTCTTTCAGCTATCCGCCTCCCTTTTTCCCACGGAGTCGAGTTACTGTCTTTTTTATATTATTGTCCGAATCTACAGAGCCTCATCGGTGACTTGACGTTTCTATCGGTCTAATTCCATCCCTCATCCTCAAATGATCCGAATTTCCGGCGCTTGGGTACACACCATGAACCTGAGATGATCCCTCTTTCTTCCGCCGGCGCCCAACCCCGGGGTCATCATCCCCTGCGCGCCGTCAATACTGCCTCCGGACAGCCGAAAACCTTTCAAGCCCTCGCCCAGTCCGATGCGAATCTGCCGACGCCCGTGCCCCAGGCGCAATTCAGACAACAGCCGACTGTCATCGACTTGACCAGCGGCGAAGATGCGCAAGAGAGGGAACCACCCGCGAAGCGACCACGACTAGATATACCCACTGGGAGGTCCAGCGGGACGGCCAGTCCGGTGCCTGGTGTTGGTGGGGGAGATTTGAGGAGTGCTCCGGGGGGTCCTACAACCCCGAGGCCACCCTCGACAGCCTCGTGGCGTGGCAGGCCGGTCTGGTCTTTCCAGTCCTTGGTATCCGAGACACCGGGTGTGGGAGATGTCTATGGGGACAATGCGGCAGCACTTTCGCAGGGTGGAAAACCGGCGTCGCCGCCTCCTTTGCCTACTCCTCCATGGCGATTTGTTCCTCAAAGACCCTTGAGTGGTAGGTCGAGAGACAGCTCGCCCGTGAAAGCGGTACAGACCACGCCATATCGGATTGAAACTCCTCCTGCGGCTCCTGCGTTGAAAGGCGAGAGTGAGTGTCCCTGCTGTTTTCTAAAACTGACCAAAGAATACGCGTCTAACTGAAAGTTACCTTCTCCAGAAGTCGCGGACTTCTCGCCATGGACCGGAAACCACCCAGAAGACGTTCTCAACGAACAGACGGCGAAGCAAGGATATTACGATCGTACCCAAGTTTCGCAGAACGAGTCGAATACCGCACGTCCGTCGTTGTATGCCCAGCTAAAGCATCGTTCCGGATTGCAAATGCTCTCGTCGGTTTTCGCCTCCGCCTTTGAGAAGAGACAGAACCACAACACGGTTGCTACTTCTTCGACCTTCAAGCCTCCCCCTCGAGTTACCCTGACGGATAATAAACGTGAGAGCTGGCTTCGCGATTTGGCAAATCCAGCCGTTCCATTGCGTCGGCTGAGTCGCACCATACCTCATGGCATCAGGGGCAAGGTACTTCTCGACCAGTGCTTGGGCAAATGGGTACCTGTGGCGCGAGCAGTATGGCTGGCAAAGTGTGTTGGTGCCAACGAAATCCGCGCATTCAAACGGAAAGGCACCAGTGGCCCATTGGCAGTTGGTTTGGAAGCCAAATGGGTTCGGGATTGGACTGTGAACGTGCAGCAGTTTCTCGAAACTGTCATCGCTGCTTGTGGAACGGCCGACTGGAAAATGAAGATGACTTATGCGGTTAGCCTGACCGCTCGTCTGTTTCATGAGAACCTGCTGGACCACGACCACTACACCGGATGGTTTTTGTTATGCCTCGAAGCGGCACCTCTTAAAACCTTGCCGGTGTGGCTTCTGATGCTGGGTATATACTGGGACAGTATAATGCGATATAGGAAACGTGGGCGCCGACTAGCAGAGCTGTTACTTGCAAAGTTGACTCAGGTCAGCAAATCCGAACACGCTGGAGCCCTCAAGCCGCTTATAGACCGTCTGTCTCTCTACGTCAAAAGGCTTGTTCGCGAACATACATCTTCAGCTATACTTCCAACCTCTTGGGCCACTTATCGAAATCTTGTTTCTTCGTCTTTGGATCTGGACGACAAGGTGGACAGGGCGATTTTTCAGAATATCGCAGAACGCAATATACGAGTACAACGGCCCATGCGCTGCCAAAGCGCTGCGCACCGCTCGGGACAACAACAGCAACAACATATCATCCGCTTGTTCGATTCTATACGCACTGCGCACGATATATCCTCAGTCTCTGTTGCCTGTCTAGACACTTTTGAAGACAGGGATACGCTTATATACAAGTTGTTGGAATGGACTGCTACTCCTTTCCGCCATGGTCTTCGTCGTGTATATATTGCTGTTCGTCTCCTGCGGAAATGGAAGATGGCCTGTATCGACGTGGATTCCCATATCCTTGGTTTTCTCAGCGACAGCCCTAAGGCCAACGAAAATATGGACATGGTCTACCACGCAATCTCGGAGCTGGTCAGATCCCAAACGTTCTCTGTCGGTCGATACCTACAGTGGCTTATGGCCAAGGGCGTGTCGAGGGATTCTCTATCTGATCACAACGTGAGTTGTCCGCCCAGTTTGTCCCAGTCTCACCCGCTCACAGAAAGGCAGATTATTCCAGGTGGTGTCGGACTCCTATCGCACCTTCCAGTGAGCCATCTGCCGGAGCATGTACGCAACCTTCGTGATACTTTGTTGGTACGCGTTGGGATCGCTTCATCCGAGGAAGCTACGACCATTGCTCAAGTCAAAAGCTTTATCGCCACACGCCTTCCAAGGGTATTTGGCGGTTATGAGGCTGATTCTACTTTTGAACCCGCTTACCAGAGTTTGACGTGGGCAGTCAAGTCTGAAATTGGACAATGGATTCGTCATGCAGTTGCTCAGCACTGCCGGGACCCGACCAGGTAAGTTCCGCCTTATCTAGTTGTGTGTGTATCACTAATCCTAACCCTGTTAGGTCGATTTCCGGCGTGCCGTTCCTCACCGATTTGAAAGTGTCTTCCCTGACTCCTGACGAGTTCTACGAAATTCGCGGCCTCCTCGAGAGCTTTGGCGACATTTCCATGCTTGCGGATGTAGTCAAGCAGGCCGCCAGCAGTGACGACAACATTGTTTTGGCTTCTGCTGCTGATACCGTTAATTACCACTGCGATTCGTTTAATGTTATTGGTGCTGCAACGGATCTTTTTCGGAGGCTTGTCGATGCGTATTCGCTTCTCAAGCGACTCGGAACGGCAGACCTAGATCTGATCTACTCGCTCATCGAACTCGGCCTCCAGCTCCCCAATGAGTACAATACGGTTGCTATCCTTCGTCAAGATCTTTCTCGGATCGAGAACAGGTCTGCCCAAGCAGCACCGTCACCACTTTCAGACCACATCCCAGACACAGTCTATGAAACCGACCCCTCATTCCTTGAGAAGTTGGATCAGTTCCTATCGTCAGGGAGTGGCATGGACGAGCCAACGATGGATGCTATCTTCGACGCGCTTGTTAAAGTACTCGACATGGGAGATGGGCAAACGAAGTTGTCCGCAAATGATGCTTGCAGGTATCTTGCGCATTTGAGACCCTTCCATCCAAAGCCTTTCGATGCCAGGTTGGTCCGCTGGGTTTGCGGGGCTTTGAAAATGTCTGACCGGACCGAGTTTTTCAAGAGTCTTCCTCCACTTATCGGAGTGGGGTGCGTGACTATACAGGCTTTTCTGTCTCTGGTGAAAAAGCTTTTGCAGGTTAAGCCGGCCTCTGTTCCTAACGTGGATGAACTGCAAATGGACCTCTTTGAGCTCCTTGCTCCTTCCACAACGCAGGATGGATGTCGTGATTTGGTATGTTCTCAACAGTCTAGCTGTTTGATCTTTATCTAACTGATTTCTGTTTAGGTAACCTATCGATTCTACCTGGCGCAACATGAGTTTCGAACCAAACACCTGGAAGAGACGCTTGAGGTTATCCGTGGTGCTGTAGCTTCGACTGAACAAAACAAAGGACCGTCGCCCGATCCAACACAGAACCACTTGGAGACAAGCATGGTTATCTTGCTCTGTGATCTGCTTACGAACGAGCCCGGCAACGCAGCTCAGCAGTCTATGCAAAAGCTCACTGACCAGCAACCAGCGTTTCGGGTCGCTCTGCAGAATGCGCTCGATCGCCTTCTTGGTCTCGACTCAGCAAGTCAAGCTGAAAACAATCTGTCCGAGGCCGAGAGGGTGATTAGCATGACCAGTGACTTCTCCCTTCCATTTTGCCAGCTGAAACTTCAGATGCTGTTCAATGTAGCGTCTGGGGAGGAGGTCAAGAATGGAGTTGTGGATGTCATGTTCAAGATGGCGGTGGAAGATTCTCGCTCGAAGAGGTCCAATTGGGTTGGTCTAGTCGCCTTGATGAATCAGGATGCTGTACGACAGGTATGACACTGCAACCCGCGTTTCTTACTTCTGGACCAATTTTCTAATTTTTACAGATTCGAGAACGCGCTGAGAAGGAGTTCTTGTCGGTTCCGATGCTGCCGCTGGAAGCTTCAGCTGACGAGAATGGGTTTTCTTCTGTCAACTACACAAACGCAATTGAGACTGCAAGAATCTACTTGATGATCATCGAAGAACTGGCATATAGCGTTCCGGAGTCTGGTGTACCATCAATCGCCCCCGTTCTCGTCGAGAAGATGGATCTTCTGCTCAACAAATTCGTGGTCATGCAAACCAATTTCACGAATTTCGCCGAGAACAGGAACGATACCAGTGGAGAAGGTCAACAGAACACAGCCGGTTCGAATTTCGAACGAGGCCTTGCGTTCTGGTTCTCTGTCCTCCTAAGGATGGTTGTTATCCACCGGTCTGCATTCACCTCGTCTACTAAACCAACTAGCCTGCAGGAGCAAACCCGCATCCTGATCTCAATCTTCTCCATTGCACTCGCGCGCTTCCCCAACAGTCTCCTGCGTCTCTTTCCGACAGCGGATTACTTCCCCCACCCCCACCAACCCGATGACTACCGACCATGCCCCGGTATCCTTCTCCAGACGCACGCGCTAGACGTCGCAGCTTCACTCATCGACATCTTCCCCGACGAAGCGCGCCACCACTGCGCCCGTTTCCTCAAGGAGAAATGCCCTCCTTTCGCGCAGTTCCAGAACGACTCGCGCTTCCTTTATCTCCTCGGCCCGCTACCTGGCTATGGTGCTTCTGCAAACTCCGCACAACCAGCATCACTACCTTCACCCGCTGCCTCGGGCTCAACTCCAACACCGTCACAAACACAAGCCCCCGCCGCCGCTGCGGCGCCATCGCCAAGTCTGTCTGCGGGATTGCCCTCAGCAGAACGACCGAACTGCATGTCGAACAGTCTCCGTCTCCAACACCGTGGCCGAATTGTTGGTGCATACCACATCCGTCCATGGGAGTTACTGGAAGATGCTGCCCCGCTGGCGGGCGTGAACGATACCGCGATCAGCCTGCGGTATTTCGATGCCAGGCGCATTAGGGCTTGAGTTATTTATATGATATATGAACGGATATTTGCATATCAGCCATGATGGGTGTTAATTTATTTTATTTTATTGTTTTGTAAATAGGTTCTTTCTGTTTGATTGCATTGTCTTGTACTTGATTAATTTTTTTTTTATCTTGATACCATATGCATATGTATATTGCATTGTCCCTGTCTCTTTTGTTGCTTGCATACTTTATACATACTGGAACATCTAGAGTCTTTGCTACCTTCACCTTTTCAATCGTGCTCACTGAGCTTCTCTAATTTTTTTTTAATTTATGGTCGTTTCAAAGGATCGAGGTTCGATACACCACGACCTTTTCGTAGCTGATCCAGCAGCACCATCGACGAGCCTGAGACTGTCGGCAAAGTCATAGCTTTACTACAAATTTTGAACCTACTAAGAGGGACAACAGAAATGAGGTCTTGAAAGGTATTTTGATTCTCTTGTTTTCTTGGTTATATATAAGCAATCAACCATACTGGTTTTCCAAACTTGTGCACCACCGCATCACATAACACTCACGCACACACATACCATAGCCATTCAAAAGACCTCGAAATAGAAAAGGGAATTCTTATCCCACAACGAGTGGCCATTTCTTTTCGTCCTTTTCATTCTCCGCTTCTTCCTCTTTCTTCTCTTCCTCCTTTTCCTCGGTGCTTTCCTCAGTGACAGTCTTCTCACCAGCCTGTTCCTCCTCCGTCGTCTTCTCTTCCATTTCGGGGGAAGAAGGCGGGGTCAGTTCATTCCCATTCGCAGGTTGAGTGGATTGAGAGACGGTGAGTTGCGCTTGCGCAGACTGGGAGCCGGGATCCTGGGAAGCCGTCGCAGCATAATGCTCCTCAGACCAGGGCTCTGGCGGGAAGAACATCCCAGGGTGGAGTGTCTGAGTGTGCGTATTTGGGTTGGGTGCTTCAGCGACGTGGTGGGGTGGCTCGGACCAATACGGAGGGCACCAGGATCCCTGAGCGTAAGGAGGGTAGGATCCCTGGCCGCAAGACCACTGATAATGTTGAGGAGGAAATTGCTCCTGACGACAAGTCCAATTGGTGTAATTGGGGAAAGAAGGGAAAGGAGGGAAAGGAGGGGGAGGAGGGGGCGCCTGGGCGTAAGACACCGTGGGATAAGTTCCAGGTCCCTGAGTATAGGGTACCTGAGTGTAAGGGGCCGGTGCGGGCGCCGGAGGGTAGTAGGGGGGCTGGAGCTGCGAGTACTGTGGCAGCGGAGGAGGGGAAGGGGGATAAATGGGCCTTATTCCATAATCCGCTTTGAGATAAATGTCGGGATTATTTTGGAAATGCTGTAAAAAAGTGTTAGTGTTGAGACTTCGTCTTAGGGTATGGTGCAAGATCACTTACCCTCATTGCATCCTGGTAATCGCCCACAAAGGAGAAGACGACTTTGCTGACAGTAATGCCACTTGTAGTGCACCCTGTGGTACAATAATCGAGGGCTCCCCGTCCTAGCAAAGCTTCGCGTACAGCATCCAGGGTAATGGAATTTCCATTGCGATAGCCCATGATGCCAGTTCCTGTGAAGTACACGTTAGCTCTTTGGGATCAGAAGCATCTGGGCTAAGTTTAACTTACTTATCGCTTTGCTCACTTCAACCCGCAGCAGGCGGTCGTGGAGCTGCATAGTATTATGCCATGTCAAGGCGGTCTCGGCATGTTCGGATTTCTATTCCTGGTTAGCAAGAGTAATGAGATATGATCAAGAGACTCCACAACTTACCTCGAACTGAACAAACGCAGAAGGGAGTTCCTTTTTCCTGTCCACATTGGTCTTAACGTAGCATGGACCAATAGTAGAGAACTTTGCCCCCAGTTCCTTGCCTTGCTTCTCAAGAGGCACTCTGGTCGAAAGACTGGCTAGGGTTAGCGTGGATACATTGGAAATGTAACCGGAATCGAATACTTACTTTCCAACAAAGACACAAGCTGCAGGAGGGAACAGGCCCTGAGCATTGCTAGCCGTAGGAGCGCAGTTCTTTCTGTCAGGACGGATTGGCCTATTGGCTGGGCTGTTGTGGCCGCTGCCTCTATGGCTGTTATTGGAACTGTGGCTGGGACTAGGGCTGGCGTTGGCACTGGTGCTGTTTGGGCTGTTAGAGCCGTTACCAATGTCAGAGCCATTGCCATTGCTGTTGGCGTTGGCATTTCCGTTTCCATTGGCGTTGCCATTGACACTTCCATTCTCGTTGGCAGTGCCGTTGAGATTGCCATTTCCATTGACATTGGCGTTCATGTTGCTGCTATATTTGCCATTGGTGTGGCTGATGGCGTTTGTATTGATGATGAAAGGAGCAACAGCGGGATCAAAGGAAGGCATGCTGAGTCTTAAATGCTAACGAAGCGAGTAGCAAGTAGACCGATGAAGCGAGCAGGTAAAGAATGCTGCACGCTCGAGAATGAGTAGAGTGAAGATGGATGGTGAAAGCAAGAACAGGACAGAAGATGGGCGGGTATTTTTACCCTTTCAGTAGGCAACAAACGTAGGCATCCTCTCTATTAAATCGGAGGCGATATAGCTTTATCATGACGATTCGAGCGGACTAAGTATGGTTCCTGGACAGGTGACAGGACTATGAGCGGAAGCCTGAACCAGACAAATTCTCCAATCGGGCCCCAAAAAGAGAATAAAATAAGCGAAAAAGGAAGGCAGTCTCATGGCAAGGAGGCAGCCAGCCCTAAAGCAAACTCTAAGCCTGACTGTAAGAATTTTCTTCGGAGCCTCAAAACAGAAAACGATGACGATAATGAGAGTCAAGACCGCCAGGCTGACACCGACATCTTGAATTACAGACATCCTCAAGGCTCGAGATGAGTAGTTCTGTAGAAGAGTCGTATCTTAAAAAACAAAGGCTTGTTAATCAAGCGAAGTTGGCAGTTGTAAGAGCATTGTTGCTACCCATTGGCAAGGTGTTCAATTAAGGCGATATAGCATGTCGATGAAGTTAAGTGCCAGCCCTATGGAAGCGATGTTTCAGGATCTAACGAAGCGAAGATGCTGGGAGGCTCTTCTCTGACGATAGATGGGATTGTCTAGCCGACAAATCAACATTCCGGGACTGGTAGTATCGCTTTTGAGCCCTCTTCATCTCATTGTCGATGCTTCGTCTCCCCGGATAAAAAATTATCGTAAATCTATCCTCATCAAGCACATCGTTCTGACCGAAGGAGGAAACCCCATTCTAGGAACATATGGAACCCCCAATGATTCGGAGCCAGGGACGAGATGCAATCCCCTGAAGTGAGCAGTGTCAGCTAACCTGAAGCACGCTGACAGATACGACGACTTACCTGACAGCCAAGAGCAGACCATCCATCATGTGTCGGACTGAGTCTTCGTGGTGGGGATAGAGACACTCTCCCCTCCTTGAAGTCGGAATTATCGATCTTATCATCGGCTGATCGTCGATCAACTGATGCATCGGGTTTAGCGCCAACCGTCGGAGGGACATCATCCTGCAGCTCTCGGCTTCCTCTCCTCTTCGCTCTTCATCCTCCTCTCTTGTCACTTCCACACACCCGCCCTGGGAATCGTGAGCTCTCAAAATGATTCCTACAGCCAGATGCATGGCTGCGAAGCCGGCCGGCTTCTTCAAGCGCAGCGCAGACGAGCTCAGTCGCCTCTCAAAAATCGGTGCGTCCCGGCTTCCATTCCCCGCGTCCTGCATCCGCTAACACGGTCGGTCCATCATACAGCTTGGAACACCGAAGGCCTTCATACTCCTACGAAACCCTATACGATGCTCGATTTCGAAGACGAAGGGTCAGTCGCGGGATGCAAGACAATGGCCGACCGTGCCGTCGGAGGATTCAGCACAGCGAGCTTGGACTATGTACCGGAAGACCCTTCCTCGAACACACCTGGTCATGCGAGATTCCATGGAAACATTTCGACAAAGCTTCCCAATAACTGGAGGGTGGAACGGACAGGTATGGATTTTTGGTCGGTGGCTGATACCGGGGGCGGGAGTTGACAATGTCGTAATTGAACAGGATACGCCGCGTTTCGGAACAGGGACCGAGGACTCTGGTTATTCGGTCGATTGTACTGGGATGTTGACCCCTACGCCTACCTGGCCCTTCGTGTCAAGTCCGATGGTCGACGCTATACCGTGAACATCCAAACCGACTCGATCGTCGAGACCGATATCCACCAACACCGAATGTACACGCGACACCACCGCGTTCAGAGCCGTTCTACCTCTGACGAACATCTGTCACCACACGCATCAGCCGAGGCATCGGAATCAGCAGAGGTTGCTGAAACCAAGTACCCCGAGGGCATCCCTCCGTCGCTGTCGGACATCCCGCCCGAGTCGACTGTCATGTCCTCCGCTTCAGCCACCACTTCCGGCTCGACAGGATGGGAAACCATCCTCCTGCCGTTTAACGCTTTCGTTCGCACAAACTATGGCTTTGTCATGGAGCCACAGACCTCCCTGCTCCGTCAACGGGTGAAGAGTATTGGAATTGGTCTCACGGATCGGGTCGAAGGGCCGTTCGACCTACGGATTCATCGCATGTGGGCCACGAATGGCATTGGCGAGCAAGAAGCGGAAGAAGACAGACTGATCTGCGGTGCAGACGCACTGCCTGTCGACGAGGGCGTGAGATCTGGCTGGACGGATAAGGGCACAGAAGGACAGCAGCAGGAGAGGCCAAAAGCGAAGGGTCTTAAGGGACTCCGTTCGGAGTGGGACCAGTAAGGACATATCATATAACGAATAGAATTGTATTATAATTTACCATCTTTTGGGATTGAAGGAGGAAGTACTATTGTGCAACATTTATTTTTATAGCTCTAGGCTTCGTATCTCAGGTTTTATTATAAACATCCAGCTCAAGATATATAGCACTGCGCAGTGTTCCCGACGCCTAATCTAGTTACCACCAGTGATCTTCTCCCACGCCTCCTTGTACTTCTCGCTAGTCTTCTGTGCAACCTCCTCACTCATCCGAACACCTTCCTTGCCCTTCAATCCCTCCTGAACAAGCCAGTCACGCAGGTATTGCTTGTCAAAACTCGACTGACCACAGCCAAGCTTGTAGGAATCCTTGGGCCAGAACCGGGACGAGTCAGGGGTCAGGACTTCGTCTGCCAGCACGACCTCGTTGGTCTCCAGGTCCAATCCGAATTCGAACTTCGTGTCTGCGATGATGACGCCGCGTTCGAGGGCGTAGGAGTGGGCGGCCTTGTAGAGCTGGATCGACAGAGAGGCGATTGTGGAAGCGTAGGGTTCGCCGATGATTTTAACGGCTGTAGCAAAACACAGTTAGTAAGGACGGGGGCCTGGAATTACCCAAGGGAAGGGATGCGTACCTTGGTCTGGGTGAATGTTCTCATCGTGCTCGCCCTGCTCAGCCTTGGTGCTAGGAGTGTAGATAGGTCCATCGGGGAAGGCCTCGCTCTCCTGCAACCCGGGAGCAATCTTGATACCATGCACAGTACCCGACTTCTGGTATTCCTTCCACGCAGAACCAGTAATGTATCCACGAACAATAGCCTCAATAGGAAGAATCTTCAGCTTGCGCACCTGCATGCTCCGGTTCTGGAGCATCGGCCGCAGCGACTCGGGGATTTGCGGCGGGAGATCGAGAGTGAGGAAATGCGTGCGCAACGAGGGAATGGCCGAGGTCAGGGTCTTGAACCACGTTCGTGTGCAGAGAGTCAGGAGGACGCCTTTGTTCGGAACACCCTGTCAAAATCATCTCATTAGCTATCGCCAGCATTGATTGCTGGTGAGGAGGGAAGACTCACATTCTCCATAATCACATCGTAGGCGGAGATGCGATCAGTCGCAATGAAGAGCAGGGTCTTCTCGTCGACTTCGTACAAGTCGCGGACCTTGCCCCGGGCGACGAGAGGCAATGCGCCCTGGAGGTCTGTGTTGGTGAAGGCTTCTGTCATAATTGCTCGTTTTACGATTGATTGAGGGGTTGATTGGAAGTCCGATGTAGGAGAATCGATAAGATTTTTGGCGGGGCATCAACCGGGGCCTCAGGCAGGAAAGTGTTCCTCACATGCCAAACTCCGTGTTTGTTTCTGTCCAGTTGATCGAGGACAGCTCTCAATTAATTGATATATTTCTGGTGCACTCAGCTTATTGATTATATCCTAATCGTCAATTGTCTCGTTTTGAAAAGAAAAACGCCCTTGAAGCGGCGCTCTCGACGCGAATTGGTCGCATCACGCGACGGAAGCTCCATAGTGTCGAGCTTGCCCTTGTTCAACACCAAAAGCTGAAACGGAGATACCAATGTTATAGCCAAGATGAGCCGCTATCTCACTCCATCCAAAGTTGCACTGCTGTGCCTCATCTCCATCTACACAGATGGAGTCGTCCCCAACTCCTCCGCCATCCATGTCCTCTCATTCCTGGTATCGTGTCTATTCCCCATAGAAGACACGGGAATCTCTACGTCAAAGAAATGGGAAACAGACGCTACAGTTTCAATCACAGATCTAGAGAAGACCCTTTCCGCGCAATCATCCTCCGTACCAGGACGTTCGGTATGGGATCTGTTCCTCAAGAAGATCTGGTCCCTGGATTCCTGCGACGCACTCGAGGTCTTCTTCGCGGGTATATCCAAGATGCTAGTCAAGACCCGTGAAGAGCAGATTCGTGACAAAGACAATGGCCTCGCGCCTGAACCTGAAACGGGCCCTATGCGTCTTTCGAGGAACTCGCCTCTAGGCACGTTTGTGAGAAGAGCTCAGCTTGAATTTACGAGACTGCAGTTCCATGACTCGGTTAATTTGTGGAAGGGATTTGTTAAGTACCGTTTGACGACGTACCGCGTTTGGGCAAAGAAGAATCCGTCGAGCGAACAGGCTTCTATCGATATGAATCTTCTTGAGCTTCAACTGGATGAAAATAGTTATCTTGCTCAGGTTGTGTACGGTAATATGGACGATGACACGGAGTATGAAAGGAATGTTAGCACTAGAGATGTGGAGCGGTTACTGGAGTTTCAGATTGGCGAGTTGCAGAGTATGTTGTTCTTTTCTATTCTGATGCAAAATTGCTTCTAACAACGTGCAGGACTGGGCGGAAGAGTTCCGGACAAGATGAAAGCGCAATTAGAACGCATAATATCATCAGGAGTGACACTTCCCAACTTGACACACTATCTCAAGTAAGTTTTCAATTTGTGCCTCGTACCTGAGCAGAAGCTAACAGCCTAGATTCCTCGACGCCTGGAGAGCAGGAGACTATCCATCATCATTCGACAACCTCCACCGCTACTTTGATTACACCATGCACAGCCGTGACCGGAGCGCTTACCAGTATGCACTGCTCAACCTGGCCATCCTTCAAGCAGATTTCGGATGCCATGGAGAAGCCGTTTCCGCTATGCAGGAGGCCGTTTCCATTGCCCGAGAATCCCATGACGTGAACTGCCTGAACTTCTGTATGAGTTGGCTTTATCACTTTGGCAAAGCATTCCCGGAGCAGATGAAGGACGTCCAGAATACAGGTATGCTGGGCAATGAGAAAGAAGGGCTTGCGTTTCTGAAGGCGAAGGCCAAGGAAACCGAGATGTGGAGTTTATTGAGCACTACGCTGTTGAGTGAGGCTAAACTCGAGATGCAAAATGTGAGTGTATCCTGTATTGAAACGGTCAGGATTCTAACGATATCAGGGAGAGAGCCTTGCTTCTGCTGTTGAGAACATGGTTCGAGCATCGCATCTAAATGTCACCAAGAACCATGTTAGCTCGATGGGACCACAGTTATTACTGCAGACTGCACTTTATGCCCGAATTGGTAAGACACGGATATCTTTACAGGCATAATGCTTTCAGTACTGACCATTCGCAGGAGTAACACATCTCTCATGGTTGAGCAGCGAGATCTTTCGAGAATGCTATGCGAACAACGCACCATTTGAAGACTATCTCAGAAGCACCTTTCGGAACTGTCAGCTAGTATGTCACCAATCTTTGCTCGTTTAAAGGTAATCTCGCTGACAATACACAGCTAGCCCAACAAGGCCGGTATCGCGATGTATCGGCCTTGATGAAACAGGTCGCACCCGAGAAACTACGATCACTCAAGGCAAACCAACAATGGACCTGCTTCTCAGGAATCCTACAATTACAACGCCAAATCTACCGGTAAGTCTACGCACTCACCCACAAAGCCCACAACTAACCCCCCGCAGCGACGACAAAGTAGCAGCCGACCACCTCGTCACCCAACTCCAATCCATCCACCTCCCCGACAGCGACATCTCCCCCCTAATCTCCTTCCTTACAATCGAACACCAAATCCGTCAAGGCAACTACAGCCAAGCCCTCGAAACCGTCGAAAAAGCCGCCCAAACAATGCACCAAGACAACTTCGACATCCATTTCCAAGTCAAACTCCTCTGTCTGAAAGCCCGCATCCTCGAGAAAACCGACCAGCCCCAGCGCGGCTTCTCGCTAGCCATGCGAGCAGCAAGCATCGCGCACGGCTCGCGACTCCTCCCGGGCCTGTGGGAAGCTATCTGCGTGCTGGGAGGGGTGTTGCTAAGTCTGGGCGAGTTCGAGGCTGTTTCTGAGCTAGTTGAGAGTATCATGCCGAGGGTTCTGGAGACGGATGATTGTGATCTGGCCGCGAGGGCGTATTCGTTGCTTGTGGATGCAAATATGGGTATTGCGGGGGGGATGTGGAGTCAAGGACAGGGGAATACGCCTGCGCGGAAGGAGTATGTGAATCGCGCGCTAGGGTATATTGATTTTGCGTATGATCAGTACGAGGAGATTGAGGATATACAGGGGCAGTGTGAGATGATGGCGAAGAAGGCTACGGTTATGCATCTTACGGGGGACTTGGTGCTGGCTAATGATTATGCGGCGAAGTATTTGGATCTGAGGAAGCAGCGTGCTATTGAGGTCTAGTTTATACGATGGTCCTGTCTCGAGCTTGTTCTGAAGTATCGTGATATCCTCTTGTAAATTGATTTCAATAGGTCTTTACACCACTGTCAAACATGCGGGCGAATACCTGAGCTTGCATTACTAATGCCCGGACTTCTTACAATCATATGATCTAATTTGACGTCCATGGAATGCGCCGGCTCGTATAAACAATATCAGAATTGACGTATGATTATTCGAACCGATATGAAGAGTACAATTCCAATAACAAAAGAAAATTGTAGATTGACAGTGTTGCTAGTTCCTCTTCAATTCGTAATGAAAACCTCCCATGCTCAATTCTGGCTACATTCTCCTGGAATCTTTTGCGATAAATATACATGTCTCCTTCTCTGTCTAGATCCGAGATTCGAGAAGGCTGCCACTGGATGCGCTCATGTTGGGAATAATTTAAGTGGGCTTGTCCTTGTTGTGGTAGTTGACGCTCGAGTTCCAGCTGTAGAATTGTTAGTAAACACTCAGTTATCCAGGATAGCGCGTCAAATCGTATGATTTTGCCGCCGCAGGGGTATGTCGTCTGGCGGCACAGATATCCGATATCGACCCGAAAACCAAGGGAAACTTACAAGATAGTCTAAAAGCAACCCAGTCAGTAACAATGACCCAATTCCCGAGGGGGGAGGGAAACTCACCTTGTCACCATCTCTGAAGGGGAAGTTTTTCACACGGATGTTCTGGTAGGGGTACTCGGTGCGCTCCTCAAGCGGGGTGTCGTGGGCCCAGTGCTCCCAGTGCTCCTCCCAGAGGTTGTAGGCGTTGATAGCGGCGAGGATCACGCACGGAGGGACGGCACTAGCAATCATAATCGTAAGTACGACATCATCGACGGACGAATGGCAAGCAAGGTATTTCAATTGTTTCGTTTCGGGTAACGGTTTAACATACTAGAGAGAGAGCTTCCTCCAGAGGTCTAAACAAGCAAGAAAACATTAGCACAGGTACAATCCCCAAATCCACCAAATAAATTGCAAATACGCACCGCTAGTCTCAGCAGCGTGGTGCTTAACAGCAGCCCGCTCACGGTTGAACTCGTTGTCGACGGCCCAGGGGAAGTTGCCCTGGGTGCTGTTGGAGCGGCGCTGGCCGGCGGCACGCAGCTGCTGAGCAGCGCGCTGGGAGAAGCGGAAGACGTTGCGCTGGGGGAACATGGTGAAATCGACGCAGGCGTTGCGTTCTGTTTTGCGATATGACGGTGGGATGGGCGGACTTGCTCGGGCGGTTCGGGATTCTAGCACGAATTGTTGGCGAACGCTGAATTGGGTTTAACGTGCACTAGCCACGGAATGGTGTCAGCCACAGTACGATGACACTCCGTAATAAGGTCACGTGTGGTCACGGGGTTGTGGCGGGTGCTATCTCCTTGCGGAACTACGTACTATGGACGCGTTGATTAGCACCATTGGTTGCAATTTCTACCATTGTAATATAGAAAACGAGACGCTTGATTTGTTTCTGAGTCGCGCTGGTTCGTGGCAGGGATGGGGTTTCACATCACAACATGGAACGGTAAGTGACCTTCAATTGTTTAGATCTCGATAGCTAACTAAAGGTAGTTAATGGGATACGGTGCGTATTGAATCCATGAAGGCTCTTTCGATGCTTTGCTAAGCATTTGAGTCTTTAGAAACCCGTTCTCCTATGAGCCATGGAGAGGGAAGCGGTCATTCGAGGTATGCCCTGTACGGCTTCATCCAGAATCTCGATTGACACAAAACAGGCGATGTTCGATACTCTGGAAGCAGATATAGTCGTCCTTCAAGAAACCAAAATTCAGCGCAAAGATCTCCGAGATGACATGGTGTTGGTTCCCGGATGGGATTGTTACTTCAGTCTGCCCAGAGTGAAAAAGGGTATGCTCGACTGCTTATAGCTTGAATAGAACATTCTAACCCTTCTTCAGGTTACTCCGGAGTCGTCATATACACTCGCAATGCGAAATGTGCCCCTATCCGCGCAGAAGAAGGCATCGCCGGGGTCCTCTGTCCACCCAACATATCAACTCCATTCCGAGAACTTCCCGAGGAACAACAGATTGGGGGCTATCCAACCCTGGAGCAGCTATCCCAGTTCGAAGTCGATCCAGCAATTCTCGACTCAGAAGGCCGCTGTGTCATTCTCGAGTTTCCAGCATTCGTTCTAATCGGCACGTACTGTCCAGCAAACCGGGACGAAAGTCGCGATTCATTCCGTCAGAACTTCATCGAAGCTTTGGACGCCCGTGTTCGAAACCTGATCGCCATGGGTAAAAAGGTATTCGTGACGGGGGATCTTAACATTGCACGAGGAGAAATCGACTCGGCACACGCGGGAGAAGCAATCCGTAAGGGAGTCGCGACGGAGGACGAATATGTGTCTGCTGGGGTAAGACGGATCTTTAACCAGCTGCTGTCTGATGGAAAAGTGATTGGTGAGCGCGACGAAGGGCGAGAGAAGCCGGCTCTGTATGATATCTGCAGAGCGTACCATCCAGAGCGGAGGGGTATGTATACGTGTTGGGAGCAGAGACTCAACGCTCGACCAGGGAATTTCGGTGCAAGGATTGATTATGTCCTGTGTAGTCTTGATATGCAAGAATGGTTTTGTGATTCGAACATTCAAGAGGGTTTATTGGTAAATCTTGGTTCTGTCTGAAAATCAACATTTGATAGGTTGCTAATGACTGCAGGGATCTGACCATTGTCCGGTTTATGCCACGTTCAAGGACTCAGTGACTATTGACGGGAATCCTGTCAGTATACTGGATGTAATGAATCCACATGGCATGTTCCAAAACGGCAAGCGTCGGCAAGAATACTCAACCAAGTACCTCCTCCCTATATCCGGACGGTTGATACCGGAATTCGACAGAAGGAGAAACATCAAGGATATGTTTACACGCAAGCCAGTGCAAAAGTCGAGTACCGTATCTACGACGCTGGAACGAACTGCTTCGGTTCAGGAAAAGGAATCACAATCACCCGCGATATTGGATGAAAATAACACGCCGTCTGTCCAAGTTACGGAAGAAACAAAGATCACCAAGGGCATTACTCGCAAGAGAAATGAATCTGCACCGACCCCCTCAATAAAGCGCACAAAATCGATGGCTACACAAGCATCAACTCCGTCAACTCCCGGGCAAAAGACTCTCAAGGGCTTTTTCAAACCGAAAAGCAGCCCTTCCAAGCCATCTCCGACACAGACATCTGATAACACAGCCAACGAACAACCCGAATCTCCCTCCAAGCGCAGCATCCCATCCTCCAGTCAACCCGAGGACACCCGACACTCAACCAAACCCTACGACTCATCATCCATCGATGAACCCGCCCCCTCCGCATCCCAGGAAAGCGAAACCGTAATCGACCCCATCGTTAGCAAAGAAGACTGGTCCAAACTGTTCAGCAAGAAACCGCCACCCACGTGTGACGGCCACGAGGAACCTTGTATCAGCCTCACGACAAAGAAGCCAGGCCTGAACTGCGGGAGGGCGTTCTGGATCTGTCAAAGGCCGCTAGGACCGAGTGGGAATAAAGAGAAGGGCACGCAGTGGCGGTGCCCGACGTTTATCTGGGCTAGTGATTGGAATAGCATTGCGGAGTAATAGGGAACGAGGTGTTCATTCTCGGAAATAGCAGCTCTTCTATTACCCGGGGTAGAGGTACGGGGGACAAAGAAAACAAAGAGAGATGCATGACAAGCAGTTACACGAGATCTCATTCTGCTCGCTTGTCCCTGTCAGCATGCAAGGCTCTGACAGGCGCGTCAGGCGCTGCAGGGTAAAGGAGATCCTTCGAGTACATTATGCAATGCAACCTGTACAATAATTCCTTATTCGGACACACTGACAAATAGCGAAATCAAAAGCCGCAACTCCCGAAAGTCAAAAAAGACGCCACAACCAGAACAAAGGTATTAGAAGCGATGGTAGTACAAAAACGATTATGGTAATTCAAGGTTCGTGGCACGCGCCAAGGGGCAGGAGTAATACAACAAGAAAAAAGAATGGGAAAAAAAGGGAAAAAAAAAAAAAAAAAAAAAAAAAAAAA